ATATATTAAAAATGTAGAAGTGAGTTTTGTTTATGCTTTCACTCCTAAACAACGATATACACGCGGGGGTAGCCACGGGCAAAAGCTAGTACTACTACTACATCAGGACTGAGTAAGTAGTAGCCTAAGCAAGACAGTATGATCTTATTGTTTTAGAAAAAGAAAGTTAAGAAAAGTTTATTCCGCCTAATGTGCTTAACTCGTTAAATTTAAACAATGAGCTACTTACGCCACGACTAGTTAGCGCAAATTACCCATATGGCCACTAATTTCTCAACTAAGTTCATAGAAAACACAAAAATTATATTTAAGCGAAGCTTTCGAAATATATATCTCCTCTTTTCATTTCATTTATTTATTTGATTAAAACGGCTTACAACCAATAACATCAATCAAGAGTAAATATTAAAATTTCTTAAAAGTATACATAAAATTATTTCAAAATAAATTCTAAACATAACATGCCATAATCATCACATTCATAATACCAAAACATATTAATTTTTTTTTTTTTTTTTTTAACTTCACACATCTCACACACGGCAGTCTGATCCCAAACTAGGCAGAGCCTGTACTATGGTAACCAGACTGCTGATAAACATACTTATATATTTTTTAATACATACATATTATAGATAAATAACACCCAGACACAGAACAAATGATCGTGCTCATCACACAATATTTGTCCTGGGTGGGAATCGAACCCACGACCTCCGGCTTAGCAGTCAGGGTCACTAACCACTAGACCAACAGGCCCGTCGAATTATATACAGGACTCACAGAAAGTCTACAGCAAAATCATTGTTACGTGATATTCATCACCGAATAGATCGCAGTCCGGGTAGGATTCCATGAGGCCGTTGAACAGAGACTGTACGTGAGGGATAGATGAGGAGCGCAAAACTATACGACATGTGGGTACACAACAATCGGTATCCTTTGCCACGGAGATAGTTATCAGGGGCACAAAGTCGAATCCGCGCACTGTGAAAAATGATATTTATTTCTGTAAGTAAATCGTTTCAGATATTTTTACAAATCAGACATTTTTACAGCTAGAAGGAGCCGGCATTTCCTAAGACTCACTTTGAGAAGAAACGCCGAAACAAACACCAGAGGTGTCTTTTTTAAGTCCGTAAACAAAGTTAAATACAACTGTGCGAGTACAGTATAGGGTTTGGGTAGGCCTTTTGAAGAAAGGACCATAGTTTTGAATCGGCCTGTCCATACAGACGGCATACAGGCTCCAGCCAATGTGTAGCCAAACCGATATTGGTCAAGATCAACAACCCGAAGCATGACACTACCGCCAGCAGGACATTTGGGTAGGCCGTGGAAACACTCAAAACCACCAGAAAGTTACTAAAATATGAATTTATTAACATTACAAGCCTACACTATACTCACATTTACATACCTACTTACTTACTTGTGAAGATCAGGAACGTCTATTAGACCTGGACATGCTTTGAGCACTGTACCTGCTAGATCAGAAGCTCTCCTGGTTTCATCAAAAAAATTGTTGGGTACAATTATGGGTAATGACCGCTTTCTGAAGCTTTTGAAGCATTAATTACTTTGTAGGACGTCTCGTGCGGGTGCCATGCACATGAGCTTGCATCATGCTTACTGCGGACAAGTGTTCTATATAGTAGTCGTATTATATGCCCATTACTAGTCACGGGCATTGATTTAATTTGTAATGAAAGATGGTGGGATGTCGCATTTGACCTAGCGTCACAACGGAGCAATTTGAGAAATTAAATTCCATTTTATTGACGACACCCCATTCATGTATAGCATCCATGTCATTGTGAGTATCATCACAATCCGTCGCACTTTGAACACTTGTATGATAGTTTCAGGTCATTAACATAAAGGAGACAATTTTTTATCATTAAAATAAATAATAAAGGCCCAAGTATAGAACCTTGGAACGTGTATGATAGGGTCTGGATCGATAAATACCAAGCCTAGCTGTTGAGGATCGCGGAGATAATTAGCTATTAATCTCAGAAGGTTAGGACAGAAACCAATGTCTGTCAATGAGTTTACGAAGCAAGATGTTATTATTGACTTTGCCGGAGGCCTTGCAGACATCAAAATAGAACACATCCGCCTGTCATCTCATATCAAGTTGAGCTGAGATATGTCAGTCAGTAACTTAGTATTTACTCATCGTTTGCCACGAAAACCATGTTGGGCGATGTTACGATGTTTTTCAACTTGAGAATATATGGGCCTGTAAAAAACAATAATACAAAAAAAATGATGAACATTTCCGTGCAATTTATCGTGCATTAATAATAAAAATCAGAAGAAAAAACTATTTTCCCCGTGTTATTCTTATGGGAAATCGATAAGCGCGATGCGGGCAACCTTAATGTTAATATGAAGGGCTCATATTTTCAAAGGGCCTATTGTAGCATCTAAACGAAACTTTTGAGCGGGGTTCCGCGAGAAGAGAAGATTCTTTGTTTTCAAACGGCCTTATATATTATGTCTTTACCTATGAAATTGCCGTTTTGTATGCAATAAGTGAAAGTACTTATTTTTTCAAAGTTTTTTTATTTCTGTTATTCGAAGTAATCACCCATGCAATCGACGCATCTTTGCCAACGCATTGGCAGTTTATTGATGCCCTTCTTGTAAAAATCAGCTGGACGGGAGGCAACAAACTCTTCAAAGGCATTTTGTACTGCCTCTCGGGAATTGAATTTTTTACCCACTAAAAAGTTGGCTAAATTTTGGAAAAAGTAATAGTCGGTAGGTGCAAGGTCTGGTGAGTATGGCGGATGAGGGAGAGCTTCCAACCCCAGCTCTTGCCGCTTGGAGACTGTCTGTTGCGCAGTATGGGGTCGCGCCTTGTCGTGAAGGAGCAGTGGGGACGACCGATTGACCAAAGCTGGTTGCAGATGTGACCACCAGACCTTGCACCTACCGACTATTACTTTTTCCAAAATTTAGACAACTTTTTAGTGGGTAAAAAATTCACAGCACAGAAAGTGATAATAGTTTTACATTGTATTGTCTATGGTTCCAAGTCCAGATATATATACATATATAAAAACGCTTGCTTTATCTCGTTCGTTAAGCTTTGGTCTCAGGTAAAATGATTCTTGATAATCCTTAACAGTAACTTTTAGCCGTTTCCAGCCCGCTGTTATAAATATCAGTCCATGCTCTACACATGACTCTGCACTTTTGTTTATCATTCCTGGGGGTCTAGTCCGTGTTTAGGCGATTGGCCCGCACTGAACTCTTCACCAATCGCAACGCCGAACGCGGTCGCCTTCAAGAGCGAGATGATGTGAAAGATAAACGCACTAGACTCCCTGAACCTTTCTGTATATTTCAACACTAGCGTGGCATTTGAAATGGGCTGCCTCAGTAGGTTCGATACCCGGACGGGGCAAAATTACAGGTACTATAGATTTAAGCTTAAGGTATGGTGTTTTACCCAGTATTCCAAAACATCTCAAAATGACAGCTCATCAGATTCAAACCAATGCAAATAATCGTGAGTCATCTATGCTTTTGCTCTACTGAAGTTCCGTATCCATTATGAGGGTATGCCCTTGACAAGCCGATTTTTAATAATCGGATTTTCGTCAGATGATTTCGAAAAAGTGTAATTCACACATATAGGTCAGAAATTATTGTCGGCGGGAATGTCAGCCTAAATCGTCCAGAGTCGTTTTTAATGCTCTCTGAACTCTTTTGACTAAAAGTTAACTTAATTTATACGACAGATTACTTTTTCTGAATAGTGTATGAAGAAACGGATACTATCTATCTATATAAATGAATAAAATTGGGTGTCTGTTTGTAATATTAAAATAACCGCTTTTTACTAAATGCATATGTATGTTTACACGGTACATATGCCAAAATAACATCTTTTACAATTTTTGTCTGTCTGTCTGTCTGTTTGTTCGGGTAATCTCTGGAACGGCGGTTATAACAACAAACGCGGGTAACAGCGCGGGTCTCAGCTAGTTAAACATATAAGCTTCATTAAAATTTTAATTTAAAAAATCTATTTTTGAATGGATTCCTTTTTAAAACTCTTTTAAAGACTTTTGTGTTTTTCGTAATTATATTGTGTACATTTTTCACATAATAATATGCTTTAACTTTACGTAACTTAAAAATTCTAGGAATAGCACTTCGATGTCAGGCCACCAACTATTCTATTTACACTCATGTTAGATCTTTCCTCTTTTGGAGCAGTGGAGCAGCTCCAAATAATACAGACTGGCTCGATTTCTTGAAATACAATTAAAAATAAAAACATTCGCCAAAAAACGTTAATGTTTACAAAATGCGCATGCATTCATTTATTAATCGATAAAAATTGACAAAACTTCTCGCTTTAAGTAAGTACATTACGCAGGTCAACACTATTGTGTTTTTATTAATTCACTATGACGAATGTTCACTCATCGACATGTCGAAAGGTAATCGCGTGACGGAACATAATTGAGACGTTCAATAAGATTACTAAGCAACATGTTTCAGGATCAATTGTAATTCTCTAGTCATCAATTACTGATATGTGTTTACCAAATGGTATGTACAATTTATTTAGGGTTTACAGTGAATTCAGAGATCTCTTCGAAGAAAAATATTTATTATGCCATATAATATAATGTTACAAAAAATACAACACTACAACTAAACTTAAGAATTATATATTAAACAATTTCACAAATTATGAATTCCAAAAAAAAAACAACGTTTTGATATGTAAAACCTATAATTAAAAATGTAAGGCACCATATTATTAAATATTATGCACAAACTAAAGTCATTATGCAATATACAATGTACTTAGACATAGGAATGATGACAATCCCTTATAAAAAAGCTGCTTGACAAACTCAACAACATTCAACATTGTTTACCAAACTAGGTTTTAAAGTCAGATAATGCAAATTCAAATACATAAAAAAAACTGTTTCGCCATCGCGAGGTCCAAATTGTTGAGTACCTATCTACTTTGCGAGTTTGCTGACTTCGTACATGTAGGCAGCGAATAGCTTTATCTGTAAAATATAAGAAAATAAACTGACTACATTTACACAAGACATACCTGGAAGCTCATCAGTACTTTATTTTATATAATATTCGTATAGTTTTTTATTTCATCATCCATCATCTACAGATACTGTTTATCGAACACAGTAAACTTCGAAGAAGAAATTAAATAATCAGGAAATTAAGAAGAATAACACAAAGAAAAGGAAAATATTTTTATTATTTTATTATTATTTGCCGTCAAAAACGCGGATAGTGGTTGCTTATATCATGTAGGTATGTAGGTATTTTCATAACAAGTTTTTTAAATATGAGAAAACAGGTTATAATAGCACTGCAAACGTGATGAGAATCACAATATCTTCTGTCTGCAAGTAAGAACTTTTTGGGATTACCTTCAAGACATCGTAACGATCAGAATCGTGTACGCGTGTTGTGTATACTAAACATGTTGCATTATTCATGAAAATAGATAGATAGTAAAAAATTAAAACATTTTATTAAAATTCATGCATATTAAGATAGTCAGTTTCTATTTTATTAAAATATTTTCATTAGCTTCGCTTTACTATGTAAACAAGTCTTGAACTGCAATTTTAAATTACTTCAAAATTGTCGTATTGAAAGGAAACTTTGTATGTTTGGATGACAATACTGATGGACGGCCTGTTTTTTTTTTTGTATGTACTCGTATATTTAAGACTGTACAAGAAACTTAAGAAGTTTACCCGTTGAGCGCCAAGAACGCATTCAAGACGCAAGACGTCTTAAAGCGTCCACCACACTTCATTTTTTAAGGACGAATAAAACTTGGCAATTATTAACTTTCAGAATCAGGAACATTTATGTAAAAAATTCATCCTGAATTCGACTTTTATATGCATGCATTAAAGCACTGAACTATATTCTTATAGGGCAAGTAATGTTAAAAAAAATATTGACTGAACAAGTAACTTACAAAGTTACATCCTGGATGCCATTGACGGCTTAAAGCGTCAACTAGTGCTGTGACTACCCACGAATAGAAAATAACTATTAAAAGAGTAAACCATATAGACGTGACGTGACGTAAAGCATGGTACCTGTCGCCATGGACAAAGAGAGAGATCTTTATATTGTGATTAGGGTAATGATCGATAGTAATACTCACGCCTTCGATATAGTTGCGAACATTGATTTTCTCATTCTGCGAGTGAGCCATATCGTCGCCAGCTCCCATGGGGAGCAGCAGCACGTTGCGTCCACTCGCCTCCTGCAGAGTGATCGTCACGGGGATAGAGCCGCCTTCACGTGACATGTCCGGCTCCGTCTAAAACACATTGATTGTTGATATTTTAAAGATAATAATAGATGTTAACATTATTTTGCATTACTTATTCTCTACGTAAATAGTTAATTTTGTTATTTAGTGTCATAGGTTGACCACGTTTGACTAAAAGAAAATATATTTTTTTGTAATAAATCCAAGCCTTTATAACTACCTACCATAAACTGTTATTTGAAGTGATACTCAAAACGGTTTATATATGCCAGTAAAACAGAGAAGAACAGATTAATAGATTTGGCTTAAGGGCTTCCGGGTCAGAAACGTGCAACCCTAAGCAATGCCGATGGTGATTTTAAGTCATTGAATAAATACTTAAAAAGTCGTAGAGCACTAAATTTGCAGTAGGAAAAAAAAGCATTGCTGTACGAAATCATTTAGAAGTTATTGTCTTATATATCGATCGACAGCCTTTAACAGTCCACTGCTGGACGTAGGCCTCTCCTTATAAAAAAGATTTTGGCCTACTATAGCTGTCCAGATGGGTTGGTACAGGGTTTGTATCAAGTTTTCCTCCTCTTTGTTGTTAGTTATATTTTTTCTATTTTTTTAAATAATGACATTTTGTACTCCATTAGCATCTAATAATATTGATTCTGATTCGATTTTTCGTAACTAATTTTGTTGTCGTTAATAAATCCTATACGAATAAGAAAAACTTATTTTTGTCTTTTATATCACATACCTACTATTAAAATAGTGCAAAGCATGCCAGCCGATGTTATTGTGCATAATCCAATCATGGTTGACAATCTTAAAATAAGCACAGCATCAACATCCTAACATTATTACTCGGTAAAAATACTATCGTCGCAACATAAGGTTAATAATAGTAATAACATCTCAAACACCGTCTGCCGTCTGATTCCAAACTGGGCAGAGCCTGTACTATGTTAACCAGACTACTGATAAACTTTTAGACCCAGACAACAAATGATCGAGCTCATCACACAATATTTGTCCTTGGTGGGAATCGAACAGAAGACCTCCGACTTAGCAGTCAGAGTCACTACCCGCTAGACCAACAGGCCCGTCGATGTAATTTACATTGTTAGTCCAGTAAAATTAACACAAAACTATTATATAGGTAGATAGATATATAAAATAATGAAATGTAAATACATGATAGATGAGTCTAGTGGCACGTGCTGCGGCCTGGTAGTGAGGATGATTCGGGTTCTCGGTCCAGGCGCGACCGCTTTGCGCTGTGATGCGCATTTTGTTGGGTGATCCTCTTTCTGCCCACTGTAAGTAAAAAAACAAAATAATTACTAAATATGTTTCGTAGTATAACAGCTAATATTAAGCCCTACCTACTCTAGCAGCTGATCCTAAAAACCAAGTGTTGGGAATCAGTATGCATGTTTTGTATTTTTGCAATATTTAAACCAATTATGTAAATATAATGTCAGCCGCGCCAAAGCATTGTTCTATGTAATAAAAACAATTCCACAAACTCCAACAATACCTACGTAAATGTAAATTATTCGTTTGGCAAGTAAAGAATCTGACTCAAGCGAGTTGGCTATATAATTGAAATTTAATTAGTAGATTTGTATTGTTCCTTGCTTTACATGTTAATTTGTTCTGGTAAAACAAGATATTACATTTTACTGATAACACTATGCTAATAAAATTGTTTAGTTTAGAGTAGTCTCCTGACAATCGGGTAAAAATGATAAGCCTGAAGGGCAATTCTCAATAATAAAAGTTTGTTCAAATTTAGTTCCGATCAACTTTCCATCTCGCAATTATTTTCTGTTCACGATTTTGCCCTGACCTATGGCTTGTCACAACTGGTATCAACGCCCACGCGAGTTTCAAATGTGGAAAGTCATGAGCCTTCACTGTTGGACCTTCTGTTGACCTCCGGCCCGGTTACAAAATCGTCGTTGAAGCCCCACTTCAGGGCATGGAACTATTCGTTCCTTCTACATTAATACCCATCAGTGGCAGATCCAAGCCCTGGGTCGACAGATCCTGCAAAACGGCGTCCCGTCGAAAGCGGGAATGCTGCCAATCATGGGCAAATGCAGCGACGGCCGGCGATGTAAATACCAACACGTTAAAAAAACAATATAACGTTGCCTTCAGGTCCCTTAAAAGAGCCATTGCTAGGGCGAAATCGTAGAACATCAGCCGGATCGGTGAGAGACTGGTGAGACGTCCTTCTGGAAGTCGTGCATTCCGGTCTCTTGCCAAGGCTGTCCAGGGGAATTTCTGTAGCCAATCCTTTCCACCTTGCAGATGGGAGATAATTCGTTGGCCTATGATGCCAAGGAGAAAGCCGATCTCCTATGAAAACTCTTTGCATCCAACTCGACTTTGGATGACGGATGACGTACCGCCGACCATACCGCGGTGCCAGAGCTATATGCCGGATGTCCGGTTCACACAAAAATCGCTTCTCTCGAAGGTCCCTTCCTTTGGGCTTCCCGATAAATTGTGTAATTGGGTCACCATTTTCTTGCCGACAGAAGCATTAAGGTCGTTGTCGACAGTGCATGCTCCGACTTGAAATTCGTAAATGCTGGTGTCCCACAAAGCTGTGTGCACCTACACTTTTTCTTCTGCATATCAATGACATGTTGCAAACTGCAGATGAAAGCACGGGAGATGCCCTTTACACCGGGCCGTCCCAATATTTCTCGGGAAAACGTCATCGAGAGTCGAAACAAACTTGTGTCTGACATGGAAATTTCCTTAGCCGATTAAATCTAGTCCAGTTCAACCCAAAAAAAGACACAGGGTACACCGTGTGCGTTCACCGTAAAGAAGATACCATTTGTAGTATCACCTCGGTTTGAGAGCACCTCCCTAACTACCTCAGCCAGTATCGGAATCCTTAGCATCGACATATCGAGCGAAGTTCAGTTTAGGGGTCCACTCTAGGTTAGGCCAAATTGGCCTCGAAGAAGCTCGGTGTGCTTAACAGATCGAGGCAGTATTTCACTCCGGCCCACCGCCTTCAGCTCCATAAGGCCGGACTTGCGGCCGCATATGGAATACTGTTCTCATCTCTATGCAGGGGCACCTCAGTACCAGCTTCTCCCTCTGGACTGCATCCAACGAAGAGCGACTCGAATAGTCGATAGCCAAAACATCTCCGATCGGCTGGATCCCTTGGCGTTACGTAGAGATGTGACTTCAATCTGCATTCTCTATCCCATATATCATGGAGAGTGCTCCGAGGAATTGTTCGAACTAATACCAGCCGCAACTTTCCGCCATCGTTCCTCACGGTAAAATTTTCATCCTCATCTGGTTAGTTGGCGCTCCACTACTGTGGGCTTTTCGAGACACTTTTTGCCCCGCACAACCAATCTGTGGTTTGGGGGAACGGGTTATCGTCTGGGGTATTTCCGGACCCGAGATTCCGATTCCAAGACGTTCATGGGCGGGGATGGTCACTTTCCATCAGCTGACCCGTCTGCTCGTCTGCCCCACATAAAAAAAAAATAAGATAATACCTTTTATGACAGTTGTGAGATCGAGAGTTGATCGGAACTGAATTGTGACGGAACTTTATAGTGCACATTTGCAAATGTATAAATTTATTGTTGTCTTAAATTATTATTTTTGTTCTATATGCATTTTAGAGTGGTTTTCGAAATGAAACGATGTTACTTAGGATGATTTACAATAAAATAAAATTATATTTGTTTTAAAGTATAAATAGTTAATAACAAATATAACGTTCGATAATATTTTTCCTTCCACTTTGTCCTCCTCCTGATGTATTTTCTTTACATAGTATAAAATAAAGTCGCTTATTTTTGTCGTACGCTTGGATCTTTCAAACAAACAGGCAAACAGTGCGCTAGAGGTCCTCTCGCATTCATAGCGACAATGGAAGGCGGTCTTTTGTGAAAGAGGGGTGTTTTTGTAGTGCGTTATTAATTTGTCGTGATTTCTATCTAGTTTAAATACGTTTCATGAGAGATCGATGTAAAATCTATCGTACTGGCGATACTACAGGATCCCAATTTTTGCAAAAGAATACATTTTATTAATAAATATACTTATTATATTCTATTGTTCTCAAAAGATCGTGTATAATAATATACCTCACACATCTCACACACGGCCGTCTGATCCCAAACTAATCTAAGATGATAACCAGACTGCTGATAAACATACTTATATATTTTTAAATACATACATCATATAGATAAATTACACCCAGAAACAGAACAAATGACCGTGCTCATCACACAATGTTTGTCCTGGGTGGGAATCGAACCCACGACCTCCGGCTTAGCAGCCAGGGTCACTAACCACCAGACCAAGAGGCCCGTCAAATGTAATCATATGATTATACAAGATCATTACATCTCTTCATTATATCAAACGATGCGTCACCACAGTCAGTATATTATGATTATATAATTTTATTAATATTTTATTATGATATGTGGTCATTACTTACTTTCTTATGGACATAATCAAAGACGAGTTTCTCTACTTCTTCAGGCTCCTGATTTGGCACAATTCTTATCGAGAACTTCCCAATAACCTTTCCAGGAATGACAGTCTTCGCGCCAGGCTGGAATGCAGCACCTTAAAAATATGCAGCCAGTATTACAAACCTATAAGTAAAATGGAAGTCATGTCATAATAAAAAGCGTACCTTCGATACCATGCAGTGAAAGACTCGGGTACCTCCAGCGGTGCATGAGAATCTGTTCCTTATCACCATTGTGAGCCAATTTTGTAGCTCCAATGCACTTCCTATAAAATTTGATTTTGTTAAATAAATTTCTGGTGTGGTGACGGATTAAGAATACAGAGTATCACCACCCCTATTCATCCTGTGGGTGTCATAAGAGTCGACTAAGGGAGAAAACTACGCAGAAAAACAACACTGCAGAGAGAAGGAAAACTTGACACAAACCCTATACCAACCCGTCTGGCCAGCGTGGTATAGTAGGCCAAAACCTCCTTTCTAAGGAGAGGCCTATGTCCAGCAGTAGACTATTAAAGGCTGTTGATGTGATGTGAAATAATTTTCTTGTTTTATATTCCTTTCATAAACATCTTTCAAATTTTAATATTTGTATCGAGCGGCGAATCAACTGCGTTTCGCTACAAAATACCAAAATCCTCCAAATAAACTACTACGTTTTGAGACCCTATACATGATTTACTCCTAGTAAAGTAATACGAATAGTATAATATATGTTATTACAGGCAACAAATTATCTTGCTTAAAGTTTATAACTGTCAAATTTTACTAGTAGATTTCTATGCAAGCAAACTAGACCAAGGTAACGCCTATTGACTCCTTTATTCGTCACTTTATGCACTCGGGTGCTCAGAGCGAAATTATTTGTATTTATTTAATAGTAGTAGAGTTTTAATCATTCCAGAGATAGTCCTCAATAGCCAATAAAACTAAAGTATACTAAACTACTTATATGAAAATGAGGTCAATGACTTCCTGACTTAATTTTTATGTAACTAATTACTTAAGAGACTAGAATGAAGAACATGACTCCGTAATAACAAACCTATAATGATTGCGATGTTATATTTAGGAACAAAGGACATAAGTGAACATCGACCCGGCACAAAAGCATGAGTAAACATAACATAGCAAAGAGTGTATGTAACATGGCATAAATTTTTATCTGTGTACTCATTTCACAGCTGATTATTCACTTTAAATTATTAAATGAAACGATACTAAATACTATTCTTGTATTAGGTTTATTATTGTAATAAAATAATTTTTAATACTTAAGATGAAACCACTTTTAAAATGGAAATAAGATTTTCCTTTCTGGTTACATTTGGACATTTTAAAAAAGTTCGTTTCGATTTCAGCAGAATCTGCTATGGAAATCTTAATTTATCTTAATATTTTACTTATTTAATCTCACTATTTTTTTCATATTTTTTTTTAAAGACAACTCCTGCATTAGGAAAATATCCTGTGTTTCGGGGGGACTTTACAAACGTACAGGAAACGGACACAAAGAACACCCAGACTCAGAACAACAATTTGTTGATCATAAAAAGTGTATTCCCATGTGGGGACCGTCCCACAACACTCAGCGTAGTAGTAAACGGCGTGGCGACCGCTTAAACCACTACGTCATCCGTGCAGTCGGTCGTTATTCTAGTGGAAATCATAACTCATACGAGAATAATCTAGATATTTCAATGGAACTTTACCATAGCTGTTGTCAATTAAAATAGCCTAGCAGCCTGTTACATATAACTCGATTATATAGTAATATATTACTATTATATAATCGAATTGCTTATAACATCATCGTTTATAATTTTTCTCGCCCTTTTTACAATTTTATTTAAATTAGGCGCAAGGTGTAACATTGAACAGATGGAGTTTTGCTTGTTTCCTTTATGGCCGGGCGTGTCGTGGTTTGGAGGTGAGGAAGCAAGTAAACAGAGGGCGCGAAGTTATGATAAGAGATACCGCAATATTTGGATGAGGAAACAAGAATGAAACTGCAGAAGCTCGGAGATTTCCGTATGTCCGTTTTTTATTGTAGAAGCTAACGGGCTTCTACAATAAAAAACGGACATAATACGGGACGACCGAAACATCAAGTGGCAATTTCACTTCTTTATATGTAGAAATGATTTTGAATTAGTTTTATGTTAGTCAGTGCTACATTATTACAAATCCTATTTGCTATAAAACATTTAGCATAGTAAAAGTACACTTTAAGACATGCCAATTACATTATTATAATGATTACAATCTCTGTTTTATTAATCTAATAAACTGAGTTTGTATGGAAGCAAACTAAATTATTGTAAGGTGTTTTATTAACTTCAGGATAAAATATTACACCTGAGCGATCTATTCCGATGGGTTTATTATATGAATATGTTGCATAATTTTAGTACCTACCTGTAAGCTTCTGTGTCGAAGTCGATATTAGTGTAAAGTGTCTTTTCGTTATCAGTCAATGGCGCGACTGATTTGTAAATGTCCGTTATTAAGATCTTGCCGTCTTTGTCGACCAACTGGTCCATCAGATAAATAAGATCTGACATAGCTGTAATTCAAACAATCATTCTCAATTGGTACTCATTAACTTTTTCAATCGTGCTGTCAAAAAAGGTTCTTAAATACATCATAAATCTTAACCTTTTACATGTTACGATAAACCATCAACAACATGTGTTAGATATAATATAGTGTCTTACACAATTGTTCATTGTGAAGGTCTTTATGAATAAGCTTATCTAGCTGTGCCTACCACGGCGGCAGATAATAAGTTTAAAGTTGTTACAAGTACAAAATAAGAAAACTCGGATATAGAGTAAGTTCACAGTTATACATAACCTTTCCTATTCTATCAGATGTTCGGTTTATACCATCAACACAAACATTTATTCCTTACTATAACGTTTTTCGGTGTCGTAATTTATCCGAAACTTAACGAATTCAAAATTAATTTTTCTCGTGAATTACTCTATCCATTGGTTAAACCCGCATGAAAATCAGACAGACAGACATATAAAAAGGCAGGGAACTTTATTTCATTATATATAGCGTTAAATAATGCAGTGCCACTATAAATTAGATAACTAATTTATAATTTATTGCCAGGCGGAGGCCATTATAACACATAATCCTACATATCTATATATCCATATAATCCCAGCTGAACGGTTCATACCATTAAATAATTCCTTTACAAAACTCAGATAAAAACTAAGTTTGGTTACTTAAAAAAAACAGAGCTATTTGCACACATAGTTATCACGTTAAATTTAAGAGTACTGATTTCTAGGGTAGAGCCCCAGCAATAACGGAGACACTAATTAGTTAGTAGCGCGTTAGATTCCGACAAACTATTTACCCCTCGAGAAGACGGTACCCAAACCTAATGACTTTACGTATTTAGTCAATTACTCATTAGGTTTCAATAACGTTAAGACGTTACTTTAATAAACGTTATGTTTAATATGACAGTTTACAACTTTTTTGATTGATAGTATAAATAAAAATGCATGATAACAGTAATATTGATTAGTTTTGTAACAAATAGCAAAGACAATAGTAGAGTATTATCAAGTTTGATCTGAGCAGACATTGCGAAAGAATGAAACTTTTATTATATAAATTGTGTCATGTCATAACAGATCACACCCTATAAGAAGAATGGGCTCTGATATGACTTACAAAGCTAATCTTTTTTTTAAAAGTCGGGTTGTTTAAGTTAAACCCAAGCTGAAGACGCAGGAGTCACTATCACCAGATACGGTCGGGATGGTTATGTATTATATAAGAAGAAATGGGTATTTTTACCATATAGGAGGGCAAACGAGCAGACGAGTGACCTGATCGAAAGAAATAACCGTCCCCATGAACACCTGCAATTCAAGAGGCGCAAGTGCTTTGCCGCCCTTCCAGAATCAGGGGGGAAACTCTTTGGAACTTTTTGGAAACTCAACAAGTCGATAAGCGTGCAGTAGTTTGGCTATTGGGGTCTGACGTATCAGTTCATTTTAGAAAAGGAATGTCCTGTCTCAAAAGTGTTTGTGTCTTTCTAGTATCTAGTATAGTATACCTAGTATACCCGGTCGTTATCTTTATAGACCTCTGATCTTTTTATTATAATTGTTTTTCTGACTGCACTATTCAATTGTTTTATTTTTTTTTTCTCATCTGTTTGTATAGTGTCATGTAACGCCAAAACCGACATTTGCATAAGATATTCTAATGTTAAATCGAAACGACATCAGAGTATGCAAATATACCTACAGTACTTAGCATTATTTGTATTAGGTATTTTATTTAATCTTGAGTATTACTTTTTTATTTCAACAGTTCAGTGTCATCATTATCATGATTATTATGATTATTCAATTGAATTTTGCTAGTAATATTTGATTTAGAACTCTGTGATGTAACATTTTTGTAGCTATGAACTATATCAAGAATTTCGACATTATGTTGCGTAATTAAAATTAATTTGTTTTCTAAATATGTTCATTCTTTTTATGACTTTTATAATAGGTACATGATCCATATTTCAGTTTTCAATTTGAAAAACACACTTTATATAGGAACCGCCACCAAAAATAATTAATTTCTTATAATAAACACAGTAGGTAGTTTTTACTTTGAAAATAATATAAGTTTTATTTAAAAAGTTGCATTAGTTATATTCAGGCTTTGTCGTCAAGGTTTTTTTCGTATTACATTCCAAGTATAGTCCATCTAATCTAAGAGGTACCGTTTGATGTTTCATACTTTTCAAGACGAAACAACTCTGTATAAGCGTAACTCACACCTTTTCGGTAAACAGACACCAGTAAGAGTGAAAACCTTGCTAACCAGCCAAGCTAGACTGATATAATATATGTATAATATATATATATATATATATATATATATAATTTTAGATGTCATTCCTTTATCATCATTAATCAAGTCACCAAGTCAAAGCATGCATCAACAAATTTTAACAATCCATAATCAAACAATTGAGGAGACCATACAAAAATTAGCTTTTTTTTCAATCTATGATTCATGTACACACATAAAAACTTCATACCTTCATGAACTGTTCCTCCATAAACACCGCTATGCAAATCCATTTCTGCGCATTCTATTTCCAGAAAGTAGTAGCTGATACCTCTTAAGCCATAAGTAATGCATGGTTTAGTGGTGCCCAACCAATAGTTGTCAGATATGCACACATAATCTACATTTTTGAAGAATCCTTCTGGTTTTAATTTTTCTATAAGCAAGGCATCCAGACCTTCTGAACCAGATTCTTCCATGCATTCAAAAACAAATTTCAAATTAACAGGCAGCTAAAAAGTTAGTACATTATTAAAAAATATAAGTGAAAACAAATAAATAATTTTATAAGTACTAACAAAAAGTGAATGTCATACTAAATAATATTTATTCATTAAAAAAGTTAAACAAGTACATTTTTTGAAGTAGAAAAACTGTATCTGCACAAGACCATATCTACTTTTGTTCAGTGTTTTTGGAAGCAAACCTAGGAACAAAAAGATAAACAGCAACAACAAAAGAAGATGTGTTTTGTTGCTCAAGGTTGCAATGTTGTTGCCATGCAAATAACTTCATGGCTCTTGTACATTCTAATTAAACATAAATATAAACATTACATATTTTTATCAATGGTCTGTAAAACAACATCAACATACCTCTTCACCTATCCCCTTGTAAGCATTAATAGCGTGAAGCCAGCCAAGTACCGGTCCCTTGTCATCAGTTGAACCACGACCATACAGCTTTTCATTGCGCTCCACCAACTCAAATGGATCTGTCTCCCAGCCATCAGACTTTAAGGCTGGTTGGACATCTAAATGACCATAAATACAGATTGTGTTTTTCTTCGGGTCCTTGTAAAAAAAAAGGAGATATAGGTCTTAATGATTTACAATAATTAAGTTTAAGCTATATAATTATGTTATAAATTAATTTAAGCCACCTATTATTTTAAAATAAAATATAGAAATATTTATTTGTTTTATTGTTTTTTTTATAGGCAGTAGCCACTCAGTAAGACAAACATACATTAAATTTTACCCTTTTCCCACATGAATATAAAGTACAACTGTGTGTAATAAATGTAGATGTGGGGCTAAAAAAATCTAAATAAAGACTAAAGACTATAATTTTAATGATAGTGCATTGTACTAAAAGTAAATTTCATTTGTCACTTCATTATTCCTACATTGTCCAACCAAATATTATGCCTAACTTTATTCGTAATAAGTATGATGGCATAATGGTGGATGATTTTAAGATTAAGAAAAAAATTTTTTTTGCTAGTATTAACTATTATTAGTAACTAATAATTTCACCACTTATAATTTTTCTTCTACATTATGCTATCACCAAAAATAGTCATATTTAGCTTAAACAATCCTTGTTAATGGCTGATGTGAATAGCTGCAGATATTGTAACAGTTGTTGTTTGATTAAAAAATAAAAGCTTAAGAGATACCGATTGATACATTTTCATTTCTCTATGTTGAATGTAAAGATATAATAATTTACATAGTATCATGATACAAAAAAAAACAATTCTTTTACTTACGTTTCCTAAAACGCCCACTAAAACTGGAGGAAGTTTCACCTCTTTACCGTCAATAGTTTGAAATCCGACGTCCCGTAACTGGGTACTGGCGCCAACCTCCTTCAGCTTCTCTTGCATCCATTCGACCATACGAACGCAATCAGGGCGGTATTTGACATCACACGATACAGAAGGAATTGCAACCGCTTGTTTTAAAAGTTTCTTATATGAACTGACATTCTGGTCAACAAACTTAAAAATCTGAGGTAACATCTTTTCTGCCATTTCTATAGAGGCTTCTTTTGCAATTGTGTAAGTTCGATGGACTGTACGATCTAAATAGTTATTGCCTTTTGAGGAGTAACTTCTCGCTATCGGACACTTTATACTCAGAACGCTAATCGCTCTTGTAATCAAAGCAGTAGTCATGATTTGAAGGAACTGACAGCCCTGACAGATGTCAAAGCTATCAAGTATTTCATAAAATTAAATGGTAGAACGAAACGTGTGTAACTTCAACTTTGCCAATGTATTAATCAATCGATACCTAGCGGTTGTATCTGGTCTGTTGAAGCTAGAGTAGTGAGTTTATAAGAGTAGGCTATTTACCGTATTTTGGCAAATAATTTCATATTGTGCTTTCGAAGTAGTTTTTGTGTGGTTCTGTAGCAGTTACTTTAAGAATTTATTTATTTTTTATTTCAATTGTCAGACAAAATAACTTTGTTGCAAATATTCCTCGCTTCCAAATATTTCGTATGGGTGTTGTTAGGGATATCCCTACTGAGTGGACTCTGGAGGAGCTAGTATCTGGAATCTCTGTCCCTAAAAATTGTATAGAAGTTGTTCGAGCTAGACGTCTTAACGTTAAAAATACAAAAGATGGATCCTCCGTTTGGGTCCCATCGAACTCCGTGGTTCTTACGTTTCTGGGACAGACTCTTCTAGTTTTTTTTTTGTTTTAATGCATCTCTGCCTGTTTCTCTACCAGTTAGGTACCTACCATTCAATGTAGAAATTGTTGTCGATTCGGCCACATTGCTAAACAATGTAAGTCCCAGCCCCGCTACTATAAGTGTACTCAACCGCATTCTGGTGACTCCTGCGTGGTTTCTGACTCGGAGGTATCTTGTTTTTTATGTCGTGGTGGTAGCCATTGTGCTACTGATAATAGATGTCCCAAACATAACAGACAAAAATCAATCAAAATTGTTATGTCTATCATGTTGGTGAAAACCTAAGCTACATGGAAGCATCAGCAAGATTTAAACAGTTTGCCAAGCGGCTATATTCTGAGGCTGCTGCCGCTCACAGGTCCCCTGCTAATTTCCCTCTAAACCCCCAAACTCATCCATCCCTAACACCTCTCTCTTCTGCTTTTCCTTCTAAATCTTACAAAAAACCAGTTAACCTTCTCCATCGCCGTATATCTATGTCTAGGAAGACATATGATATTCATACTCACAATACAATTACTCAGTTCCCAACTTGTATCCATCCTAATGCTACTGCTAAATCCTCTTGCTACTCCTAATGACAATCTTATACAGCTCCTTCTTTGCTCTTTCGCACCTTTAATAATAAACTGAATTAATTCAAAATTTACGTTTTTCGAGTTTTCAACAAATACCAAAATAACTTCAGCAGTAGAACACGAACAATCTAACAGCCGACTCGATACCATGAAAATGGCAAAGATAAGAGATCGTCGTTCTCTTTTTGACAAACTCGCACGTACATGAATGTCAATTTTTAAATGCGATTTCCCACAATATTGAAATTCTAAGTTAATTCAGTTTATGAATAAAGGTGCGCTTTGTTTAACATGCTGTCTAAAATGTCAGATGCCTTATCGTACGACGTTGCAGTTCTTGTCGAACAACTACTTTCGGTTATCACTAAAAATAATGCTTCCAATGTTTCTACAGGTCCTCCAATTTAACTGCAGGAGTATCCGACGTAACAAACAAGATATCTCTTATTTGATCAATCAACATAAACCTGTTGTTTTTGCAGTTTCGGAAACCTTATTGAAACCTAACTTCCATTTCAGAATCTCTGGTTTCTCTTGCTTTGTTGGTCAACAGAAATATTGCATTCTCTCAAATCTTATTACCAAACCACACTCCTGGCTTAAATATTGTGGCGGTTTCCTTTGTCTCTGTCTAAATTCCCCATCCAAACACAAACATTCTTCTTGAATTAAAAACAATTCTTTCAACTATCCCTTCGCCTATAATTGTTTTAGGAGACTTTAACTGCCTTCACACTATGGGGATCTCACTGTATCGACTCATGCTCCTCTGTGTTACTTGACGTTATGGATGATTGTTACTTGTGCATCCTCAATGATGGATTCGCAACTCATAGAGTTTCTCCATTGAAAAATATTAGTGTTCTAGATCTAACACTAACTTCTCCTACCCTAGTCTCCCCTTTCAAACTCCCTTGGTAGTGATCACTTCCCTATTTTAATTACCGTACCTCCCCTCTACTTTATATGTTCCCCAAACCCTACATCCCATCCTTAAATACAGAGTTCCCCAAGCCCATTGAGATCAATTTGCAACATAACATCACTAGATCTAAATTTAGCCTCACTTCCTCTAACAAGTTCGTCTTCCTATCGCCCTATTGCGCTCTCCTCAGTACTAGCTAAAATCATGGAAACCTTAATTAAATTCAGACATGAATGTTTTCTAGAACAAAAGGAATTATTAGCCAAAATCAGTATGGCTTTAGAAAAGGTTTAGACACTTTAGATACCCTCAGCATCTTCACCTCTAAAATTCACCTTGCATTTTCTCGTAACGAGAATGTAATCGGTGTTTTCTTGGACATCTCTGCAGCCTATGACAATGTATGTCTTTCTCTTCTCAGGCAGAAAATGCTACATCAATGCAATATGCTCATGTGTCGAACTATCTCTATTCGTCATCAAGGTTCTTTTCTCCCTCCTCGTCTTTTATGGAAGAGCCTTCAGCAGGGTTCAGTGCTTAGTCCCATCCTTTATATATTTATACTGCCGACCTAGACCGGTCCGTCAGTTCTTTTTTTTAAATTCTTCAATATGCTGGTGATGTTACCATATATTTTTCATCATCCTCCTTCTCTACTGCCAATTCCCGTTTCAATTCCGCTCTGTATCATTTAAAGGTTTGGCTATTAGACCACAATCTTTCTCTGTCCGTTTTTAAATGTAGTGTTTTTGTTTTCACTCGCAAACGTAATATTCCTGATAGCACTCTTTCTGTAGCAGGTGAACTAATTCCAATTAATGATACCATAAAGTTCTTAGGTCACATTCTTGATTCTAAAGTATCCGCTTTTCACCATCTAAGTAAATTAGTATTAAAAAGAAAGAAAAAGTCCATGTTATTAAAAAGAGCGGGGTCCGCTGGGGCTCTCATCTCTTTTGCCAAAAAAATTTATACAATGCCATAGTTCGGAGTCACTTTGATTATGGTTCTTTCCTTCTGGAACCATGCAATAGAGTTGCTTTGTCTAAGCTAAAGCTGTTCCACTTTAAGTGCCTTCGAATCATAACTAGTGCTATAAAATGCTCTCCAGTAATTGCCCTCCAAGTCGAATGCTTGGAATCTCCCCTTCATCTTCGCCGCTAATTCTTAGCTGACAGATACCTCTTTAATGCAGTCCATATTAATTCCCATCCCCATCTTGCAATTCGGTTTCAACTTTCTAGTCTGGCCACTATCTCATTGTACTGGAGACACCAGTCTGCCTTTGCTCCTAAATTCTTTATTAAAATGAAAAATCTATCTAATCCTATCTTTCAATCTTCTTTAAATTATCTTTTTGAGCTCGACTAAAATTCTTTTATTTTCAGCCTAAAGTCATCCTTGGCTTTGTCATCATAAAACATTCTCCGGCAGCCAACCAAATCTTTCTCCATCATTGCAGAGGACTGGTCTGATTGGGTTACGCTTTATGCGGATGCATCAAAACTTTCTTCAGGTGCATTCGTGGGTCCGGGAGAGGTTTAGAACTCTCCCGGCCCGCCAGGCCCAGGAACGGGCCAGGTACCGCAGGCGACTCAGGCGCCGGAGGTCGCAGAACGACCTCCGTCCTCCATAAGCGCAGGCCTGGGGGTGACAGGTGAGGCCATCTGTCACCCTAGCAGAAGCAGGCCGGGGTGGCGGCGAGCGCGTTGCGAAGCGCGCTCGCTTCCAGGGAGCAGAGGGAACATGGGGTTCCCACACGGGGGGGGTAGTCTACTCGTCTGTAGATGGCCCGAGGTATGTCGGGGCACCAGGGACTTCCTTCCTATGGTATACCTGGTTCCCCGGCTATTAGTACCCGAGACGGCGTGCGGTTTTAGTCGGTTCGAGTCCGACATGCCACCGATAGGTGGTATCCGAGGGGATTTCCGCACGGAAAAAAAAACAGAGGTGCATTCGTGGGTTCTGCAGTTTGGATCCTTAAATTTTAAATTATATGAAGCCATAAATGCTTTTCCTACAACTCTATCTTTTCAGGAAAATATATTGCCCTATTAGAAGCGGTCTCCTATGTGGCATCTCATAAACTTGACAAGTCCCTTATTTTGTCAGACTCTTTGAGCTGCCCACAAAATCTTTTAAAAAATCCTTTCAAAGCTTGCAATAATTTCCCTATAATTCTTAAAATTAACCACAACTTCACAGATGCCTATTGTCTGGTATTGAAGTAGTTCTAGCATGGATCCCCTGTCATTCAGGTATATAAGTTCTCATGTAGAGCCAAACATCTAACTCTTACAAGCCCTAACTTCACGATCTTTACATCTTAGACAAAATTTGGCTTGGCCGTCTCGTTACTACAATAAATATTGTAAAACAGTAAAGTAATGAATCAGTGAATTTAATTTTCACCTTACGCCTTATGTTCATTTGGCTCAATCTTACCTAGTTTTTTGTATAAATAATAATAGTATTAGCTTTAAATAAGAAACTTCTAATATGTCTACCGGGATCTTATCCTACCTACATGGTTCTATGGTAACAAAACAATAGAAAATATTAAAACGTATACCTAAAGTCAGTTGGAAAAAAGGATAGGAGAGTAACAATTGGTTTTTTTTTTACTACTAAAATCATAAAAACAAAATATTGATAAAATGCATGTTTAAGTAAATGTTAGGTTTAAAATCACAATTTTAAAGGTTTCGTGATTTCTAACATGATTTGCTAGAAGCTAACATCTCACCATGTGTCATCAAAAATTTAATATATAAATAAGCCGTATAAGCCTGTGGTACCTGCTGTATTTAAAAACGGACATAACGATCATCTTTTGTGAATCGAGTGATTTAATGAAATGGATATAAAAGAAGATGATCCATCAAATCATATCACACAAAACGAATTAAAATTTTATTCTGAATATAATAGTCTGGATTTACTACGTCATTGGTATTATTACAGGCAATTTTCTAGCCATTATTACAGAGTGCAGTGCAGTGTACAGTTTGATGACTTTGTACCATGCAAGAGCGTACAATTATTTAATAATATAGAAAGCCAAGATCATAACAAAAATCTCGAAATAGTGATTGTGCAGGTAAACACAGCAGAATTAAACATCACTAATCCTCGGAATGGCAATAACTATATAAGTACAGTAAGTCCCTACTACACATATTGCATCGATATAAAGAGATTACTGACCTTGAAAAAGTACAGGTTCCATATTAAGGAATATAAGCATAAAGAAAATGTTTACTTATCACAGCAGTCCAAGTTTTGCATTTCGGTGAGCAATGAGCAAAATTTAAAGCAAATTCCGGCAAATAAAAGTAATCTATTTTATTACAGAAAAAAACAGTATTTGTGTAATGGAGAATCAATACATATAGAACGTTTGAACCCTAGAGATACTTGCCTATTTTCTAACGATATTCAAGAAAATCCTTCTGATAGTGGATTGGACAGACAAGGCATAGATTTCAGGATATCATTATGGAAGTATACATTGCCCCCACTCTTTTATACGCTACTTCAAATGTGTGATTCGCGTTTTCAATTGACCCTTGATGCTGCAACTGTCAATATATTTTCAGTTACTGTTGGATATTGGTATTTCCAGAACGTAAGCCAAGGTTATTTACTAAAATTCCTTTTAAGTAATGTTAATGTCAGCACTCTCAGTATAATGATGCAATTGTATTTTATATTAATTACCCACGTTAACCCAAATCTTACTATACAAATAAACTACAGGAGAAAACCCGAACTACTAGCCGTCCACGAGTCCCTCCTCATAAACACATTTTCGTTTAAATCACTTGAATGGTGCGAAGATCACAAAACTGTTTTAAAATCTACAATGTTTCATTTCCCTAACACTTATAATGAAGAACCATATTCATTAAAATTATTGCGTGCTATACAGTATGCCAACACGGAGAATTCCCAAACAGAGTCCCTGATTCAAGTCGTAGATTATGAAGAGCAAACACAATGTGAACCTGGTGACAATACAGAAGCCCCTACATCACATGAAGACAGGGATAGTACGATTCTGGCACTAACACTAACTGAAAATGATAACAATATGCCGCAACGTCCACCACCACGACCCACGCCATACAAAAAGTATTCTGATTTATTCAGATTGGATAACGTCGCAAATGTTAACGAAACTTCTTGGACTAGCTCAATAGAGAACTTAACATTTTTACACAAAGAAACAGAAGAGTTGAATAAAAGTGATATCAAACTGCTCAATATTCTTTTTTCGTGTGGTGTTACTAATTTTTCTTTTATGCAAAGCAAATTGTGGGGAGCAGAACTACGTCAAAAATTTGATGCACTAAAAATGTATATTAATATTCATGATGTGTTCGATTCCCATAATATGATAAACGAGTCTATGTTTGAAGGCACTTCTGTAAATTTGTATGAAAAGTATTGTAAACCGATTCTGAATCAAAAATTCGTTGTTATAACTCTCCTTAATCTTGGAAAATCGTTAGGCAATATACTGTTTAATATTTAATATGAAGTGAAGAAATAAAAAGCGTTTTAGACTTTTAGTTCTTTTATTAATTGTTACACAATAAATGACACGAGTACTTCTCACAAGTCGGTGGTCGCTTGGGAACGATAGATTGCTTATCATTTCAATGTTAGTGATTTTATTTTTTATATTTGACAGTACATACTTATCTGGCTTTTATTTTTATTAGGGGAAAGCCACGTCCAAATGTTCCCGCTTCACTTTTTAATAAGGCTGTTGATAACGAAAAAATTGTTTTCGCAGCAGAATTGGAGTAGAGTTCCACCTCTCTTGTCTCTTTTTCAAAGCATGAGTTTTCCAATATTCTGTCTTTGCCTTTCATTTTTTAACCAACTCGGGCGTTAAAGTCACCCATGATTGTAAGGTTTTTACTGCAATCTTTAAGAGATTCTTGTTTTTCGTCATAGAATTCTTTTATTTCCAGTTCGGTTGCGTCAGAAGTCGGCGCATGGACCTGGATGATGGATAGATTTGTATTTTCAAAATTCAAGTATAGCATGCAGATTCGTTCAGTGAAACTTTCAATGCAATTTTTGAGGTGCTTTTTTACGAGGAAACCTACCCCATATTGACCTTTAGTCTCACCAAAGTAGCATAATATATGGTCTTTGTTTCTTCAATATTATAACCTGTACGTCTGATTTCTGATAGACCAATGATGTCATATTTAATAGTTGATACCGCATGCTTGAACTCTAGTAGCCTTTCATTCGATAGTAATGATCGAGCATTGTATGTACATATATATATATATATGTACATTTATATATATATATAATATATGTAGGGTGGAGTGGAGGGTTTTGGTCTGTGACCCCCGCGGTGACCGGCCGTTGTGGGGGACAAAGAGAGGTCACTTCTTTCACAATCTTTTTGTCATTTCTTGGATAATAGTTGCTAGTACTTGGATAGTAGTAGTAGTAGAAAGAGAACAAGGGAAAAAGGCATATATAAAATACAATAAATTAGTAATTCTATCGGAAAATGTAAACACTCAACATGAACGTCAAAAAAGAAGTTTATCTCAGTCTCCCGAAACAGTTATTGAGAGAGAACAGAAAAATATTTCTAAAAACCCAACAAAAATAAAATGGATCTATATTAAGTAAAAAATAAACCCGTAAATACAGAAATAAAGTCTCCATCGCATCAACTATTATCGAAGAAATGTAGCGCGAATACAGAATGGTTATTTGTATAGGATTATTGGAGATACGTACCACGGTTCCAAAAACACCAAAATGAAAATCAATTTAATTAGTTTTTATTAATATTTTTATTATAAATTAAGAACAAACCACGTTTGATTCTATCAGAACTATTACAACGACTGACAAGTTTAAGTAATAGAACACCGACTGCGGCGAAGTTTCGTAGAGTCAATATATTATGTTTTACTTTGAGATAAGCCCATACATTTCTACTCTAAGAAAAAGCTACCTCAGTGGGTACGCTCCAACATTACCCAAAACACGGTACTATTATAATACAGTACTCCAACTTCATACAAACGGACGAAACGCGAGCTATACCTACGCGCCTCGATCTCGGGGTGCGCTCGGGGCGCAGACAGTCACGGCTGTACCGCAGTGTCGAACGGACTGTGTGTTGTTTTTTTAACAATAACCGCGCGATTTTTTCTCTAAAAATCAGTTAATATGACGAGTAGGAAATATTGTGCTGTTTTTGGTTGTATGAATTCGTCAATAACGCATCCAGACATAAGTTTTTTTAAATTACCTGAAAACTCTGAAAGGTAAGACTATAAAATAATTTTACTTACTAGTAGGTAGGTACATAATGTGTGTCTTTTTAATGGATAAGTATTTCCTTTTATCTCACGAAAAAAAGGTGTTTGGATTAATAAATAAAGCAAATAGAGTAACGGAAAGTTATTGAGACGAGTGAAATAGGTAGTGTATCAAAATTTATAGGGAGTGAATCAAAAAACAACACGCATTTTTATTGAACACTTCCTATTCAATATACAAAGTATTTCATTTATTTATATAAAAAGGATATTTACAATCACAAATCTAAATAGAAACAGAAAGTAGGCAAATATAATTAAAATGCTGGAGACGGGCAGCCCTAACGCATGTTTACGTACCGCGCGGCTGTAGGCATTTATTTCTATCATGCGGCCGAGTTACACTACTGTATTATAATTGTACCGTGCCCAAAAGAAGCCTACTCGTTAACAACGGATACCAAATCATAGATGTTTTTAAGCGGGGATAGTAAATAAGTAACAATTACTGTACCTACTTTTTTTTTAAATACACTGTGTTTCTTGACAACGAAGCACTACACATCATAAGACTAAAATATCTATAATTAAGTTATGTTAAATAAATTAAAAAATAATTTCCAATAAAATGATATTCCTAATTCTGGTCTACCTCAATGAACAAATTTACATCTATATTTTCTCTTGTTACAAGACCTTTATCCAATATCTGTTTCATTACAAATCAGTTGTATACTAGGTAATAAATAGTTAGCTTATTAACCTTAAAGACATGGCTTACCTTTATTTTTTAATAATGGTCACACTTCGTTTTTATTGCATTGATAATGGCTAAGTCAGATTATATGTTTTTTAATTATGTTACATTCATTTTAGTAGACGGCTATTAATATAGTTTTGACTTCACTAATCACTGATCGCACACAATAACAGATTTAAAATGTCATTGTTAATTAATAAAAAAAAATCATAGTTTACGTTACTGTATCTTGCAATGAAATCATTCGGTGACATTACGATTAGCTTAAAAATATAATTTTGCCATAAAGCAATCGTGGAATGCATCACAATCTTCAGCTCACTGAGAGAACACTTTGATAATGAATCACAAATATGCAGTCTTTTCTTTAGTTTAACAATTAACTGTCCTCAATATGCTGAAACAAAATATCAATTAGTATTATGTAATGTGGTATTTTTATACGAAAAAAATAAGATTAAAAGGTTACATTTATTGCATTCAATACATATTACTTTTAATATTATATGTAATAAATAGACGTTCCTCGAAGTTTGAACGTGCGTACCCATTTACTTTACTTAAAGGTCATAGCGAATGTCCATTTCGAAATGAGCAAACGCACGCAAAAATAAAACAAATCATTGGCTTTATTATTTTATATTTTTTTAAATTGAATACCTAGCATCTAAATCCATTTCTATGTACACCATAACTCTGCACACTGTAGTAGTATTTAATTTAATATCAATTCTAAAATATATTGAATTTGGGGTGTTACACAAGAAAGAGCGAGGTTTGCTTACCCAGAAGCGGCGTCGTCGTTGACGATAGAGCGTGCAGGCGCGTCGGCGAAGACTCGTGCAGCGTGCCTCTGCAGCCAGTAGGTGAGCGCGGCGGCCAGCAGCGTGGTGGCGGCGCCAGCCATCGTGGCCAGCTGCGCTCCCGCGCCGCTAGCGCGCACGAACACGCGCGCCGACAGCGTTAGCCACACCGACTCCGTCCACGTCGAGTACTCTCCCGACCTCAAGTCGTAGTCTGGACACATGGAATTATACGTATCGCTCAATTCTGTAGTGTTTAAATTTTGAATCTCAAAACAGTTGAAAGTATTAGGATTAATGCTATTGTTTGGTCACAGCGTTGATTGGAATCTGTCAGGTTACGTACGAAAATGAATCTTTGTAAGGAAAATGTTCGTGCAATAATTTTCTACAACTTTAGAAGAGGCCTGACACGGCTTCAGTGTTTTGAAGAGCTAACAATTGTGTTCAGTGAGGATAATGTTCCGCCCCATGTCTGCGGACTGTCAAACGCCGGTATTTAGCATTCCCGCGTGGAAATATTGTTAGTGACAAATCTCGCGAAGGACGCCCAAAATCCGCCTTCACTGAAGATAACATCATTGCTGTGAGACAACTAATTCTCGAAGATCGTCATGTGACGTATCGAGAGATAGAGGCTCTATTAGGCATCTCAGGGACAACCATTCAAAAGATCTTGCATGAAGCGCTTGGTGTGAGAAAGCTAGTTTGCCGTTGGATACCGCAAACGAAACTATGCCTTGTTAGTCAAAATGTCATCAAAGATGTGAACAACATTTAAACGTAGAAATGCCGAATTGTGTTGTGAAAGGGTGTAAAAGTCAAACTAAAAGAGATAGATAGCAAGACTGAATCGCATTTCACACGTAAGTAAACGTAGCAACCAATATACCAAATAATTTACAAAATATTTTCAAGAAAATAAAATTATTCTGGCCCATGCAGACATAAGACCAGCGTCACTTCGTTCTTCGCAAAGTTCCATCTCAACTTTTTTATTTAATCAGAGACTGCAAAGAGACCCTGAAACAAACCCTATACCAACCCGTCCAGCCAGTATAGTAGGCCTAAGGAGAAGCCTATGTCCAGCTGTGAACTATTAAAGGCTGTTGATGATTGTTATATGATTATTTCTAAAACTAGACCCAAACAGTTTCACTATTTACTAATCCTAGTCCTCATAATTGTTTATTTGTTATGATATGATTTCAGGCAGAATAAAAGGAGATAAGGTATGCTTCATCCCAGAAATAGGGATTATTCTCGAGAGGGATGCTTTTGTTTTCAAACAGATGCAAGATTTTGTTTTCAAACACCCCTTGAACAAGGGGCCATTCATACATTAATGTTTGTCGACGCACAACGTATCCAACAAAGTGCCCAACTTTCGCTTAGAATATTTTTGTCTAATCCGTAATATAGTATATTCTTGATGAATTAATTAAGAACCAAACGTTTATTAAACAGAATCCAAGGTAATTGTATTAGTTATAGAGAAAATAATTAATGTGGCGTTACTGACCTTCAATAATGAAAGCAGGACTGACAGCATCGCTTATATTCATAGTCGTCTGGATACACACTCCGCTGTGGTTCCAACCTCTCAGCCAAAAATATGCAAAGCCCTAAAATAAAACTTAAAAATTAATTAAAAACATACATACATACACAGCCACGCCTACATCCCCGGAGAGGAAGACAGAAGAGCATATTAAAATATCCACATTTTGCTAATTATAGGGACTACCCTATTGCGCTACCGGGCATTTAAAAATCCGATGGGAAAATTTAGATTCTATGGAAAGGATAAGTAAGAAGAGAGGGCAATAGTAGGATATTGCTGGTAAAGATGGATTGGGTGGTGTTAGCAGTAGGTAGAGCTGGTCCGGGTCACGTACCTGTAACTCGAACTGACTGTTGTCGAAAAGTTATAGCTCTCTTATCTCCTATTTCTAATATTATAAATAAGTAACTCTGGTTTTCTCTTACGCTAAACTGCTGAACCGACTTTAATAAAACTTAGAACGGAAATGATTCTTAAAGAAGAACATCTTTTTACCTACTTTTTAATGCGTGACCGATATGTACGCGGGCGAAGCCACAGTCACAATTTAGTACTTACATATTATTAAAAAAAACATAGTATTACCACATTATCAATTTAACAGATTGGGCAATATAGAAAACAACTTTCCTACTAATAACCCATAATTACATGTTTATTCTACAGGAAACAACCTGTAAAGTAAGTCTCTACACTTACCGGTTCGTCAAGTTCATCACATCTACTTCGGTTTACCGCGTGATGGATTCCAGTCAGCAGTGCTAGCAAATGTCCCGCGAATATAGGGGGAATGGAAACACCCGTCGAAACTCCCACATACAAAGGTGCTGGTTCTTCAGGTGGCTTCTCTTCTGAACCGCTGCTCGACATGTGGTCCGACGCCATTAGTAGACGGCATGCTTGACTTTGTAAGAAGCAGTATAGCATCTCATCAACCTATGTTTTAAAATGTTTGTTTGTTTATTACGCTTAAATTACTTAACTACTCATCAGTGGTCTCTTTCTGTGAAGTTGTAATGCTCTAGAAAGAGACCGCTGAGTGGGATCGGGAGAGGGCCGATCCCGACCATAGAGGACGTCGGCGACGATACCAGCAGTCGACAGGGTCGCGAGCCACCAGAGAGTGGGGACCTCTGTGCCACCACAGAGATTGATTGCTGAGGTAAGGGATAGGATTGCGGTGGGCCGCCACGTCGCGATTTATGGGGGAAGTGTTTTCCCCTGGGATAGGGCCTGATTAGACATGGTGTCAATTCGGGGAGGACCTGAAATAACATGGTCCGGGTCCTCCCAGAGTAGGGCACTTGAGGCCGGCCGTCGGGGTGTTTTTAAGTGCAATCACCACATACTCCTGGCTCCTGAGTCCCCAAGGAGCAGGAGGGATTTTCCACCCCATCAAATACAAAAAAGGTTGAGCATGAAATATTGGATTCCCTTGGTCAGGGTTACACAAACGATTTAAGATATTTTTGTTACAGATATGAGTACTGTTCCTTAAGAATAGAAGAATAACTTCTATGAGTGCGAAACCGCATGTATAAACTAGTAAATAATCATCATAACCCAACAACAGAAAGAGCTATCAATATTGGTTCATGTGAATCCAATTAAAGAAATACTCGTATTTATTTTTTTAAAAGAACAATATTTGGCTGCCCTGAATTTATCTTCAAAGAATAGATGTATTATGTTTAATAAAGTCTTATACTTTTCAGATTTTCAACAAAGAAACAGAAATAATGTACTCACTAAATGTGCCGAGGCTGACACGTTGCCTGTGTACTGTTTTCCAGCAACTCTTTGATACAAAGTTCGAGCTAAAGCAGTTGCAAGCCGGGCAATTTTAACTTGAGGTTCGAACTCCGTCATTGTTCCATTGGCCAAGAGGTCGTCAGTAGGTATAACTATAACATATATATATAAATATTGAGTACAATTTATTCTTAACGGTTTATTTACGTCTTGAATAGATTTCAATAAGAATATTTTTTCTAATGCACAAGATCAGCTGATGTCATGGAAAGAATGTCCTTTTATTTTAAAATTTATAAATAACATATATATACAGGAACATATCACAAACACAAAAATATCAAAAAATTTAAACACTGTGATGTGTCGGAGGTTTGTCTTTTTTCAAAAGTTTGCCAGTTCAGAAATAAAAGGGATTTAAGAACTAAGGCATGTATAAATCATAGTTTAAACATATTTCATTCAGCATCTTCTAGATAAACAGTTATTTTAGTTGAACAAGGCAATCTTATGATCATTGTAAGTATTCTGTACTACTATTGTAGGTACTTACATGTCCCGTTTCTGTCCACAGTGAGGTTGTGGTATTTGAAATTAATCTTATTAAATTCATCAAGAGCGGAGTTATAGAACATATTATTGAATGCATATTTGTGATCTGCAAGCAACAACTCTGGCAATTCTCCACTCTTTGTGACATTTTTCAGAATACGGCGAAACGAATGCAACGACGAAGGCGGTAAGTTTGTTGTGAATTCCGGGAATACATTCATTTTCAACTTATTCGTGTTATTGGACATCTCGTTGATAAATTCTATGGCCTGTAATAACAAAATAGCCAATTTTACAATAAAACTAGTTGCCCCTGGTTTTACTGTAAATAAAAGTAAAAAAAAATATTTAACTGTCTATAGTCTATAACTGATACACATTTGGAAGACTTACCTCAACAGGCATATCACTGCTATCTTTGTAAGGTACAAAGGCTTGGAAATTCCAGGAGCTGTCATTGTTTGCATTCGCCAGTGAGCCTCCGATCTGTCCTAGCTCAACGTGGAGACGAATATCTTCCGGTGCAAGAGGTGCAGCAGCCGGCCAACTACCTTTGCTGATGTCGTACGCCACTCTCTGAGACCCAATGTAATCAAAACTCTCCCCGTTGAACAGGGTCCACAGAACATTTTGATCTAAAGCATTTTAAAGTTTACTACTATTTATTTGTTACATACATTTGTCTCTGTTACTATTTAGATAGGGGATTGTATAGAACACATAAATAACGAATAAAAATTATGAATTTTCGAAATCTGTTTATAAATGAGAGCCTCATTACAAATACATTGACTAAAAACTTGTTCTTACCGTATAACTGTCCATCTTTAACAGAGATCAACTGTGACAGAGTTGTAGCTGCTGTCAACAGAGTTACCATTCCAACAACAGAACTCGCAGCGCCAGGAGAAACACCTGTCAAAATATAATACACCTCACTCATCTAATAGCTGACTAGTAAGCCAGTGACCAGCGAAGATAAGTTGAACTATCATAGCGACTACTGAGGGCCCTGTCTACTGAGGGCCAGTTTATTTTATATCAACTCTATCGTCACGATGACCGCGTTCGGTGAAGCGATTGGTGAAAAGCTCAGTACGGGCCAATAGCAACACTGAACGCGGTCATCATGATGATTGATTAAATGTGAAATAAACTCACACTAGGCCCTCTGTTCCCGTGTCGGGCAACTAAAGTTGTGAAAATAATTGTAATTTACGTACCATCAAATAAAGATGCTGTGTCTATTCTAGCAGTTACCAAAGTTACTGGTTTTGATTTCTTTTCATCCTGAAAGTAAACATACATAATGTCAATCTTAAGTAATTGCAAGTGGTGTAATTGAACATTCCATCATCATTCAAGGCGGCAAGACATTCATCCCGCTGATAAATTGGCGCTCAAACACTGAGCGGTTTTTAAAAAAACTTTTTACCTCGCCACCACCACCATAATCTGTGGCAGCAAAATGTCACCTGGAGGATTTCCGGACCAACTCAAAATATCTTTGTTTCATAAAATTGTTTTTTATGTAAACTCTAAAGTCATAGATCAACACACACAATAGCAACAAACAATCTCTAAACCTTCAAGAAAATAGTATATCAGTTGATCCATCCGCTTGCTTTCCCTCACATTTCATAAAAAATGACACGTTGCAGATATAATAGAGAGAGAAGTACATTACGACAGTTATTACAGTACAACTTATAAACCACTTTTTGTACGACGTATGTAGTAAGTGAACATTAATTTCAAAGAATACAGGGAATTTTTCATCATACTTTTGCTAGTCTTTATAAATAAAACAATTGCGGGGTGCGCTACTATACCTATAAAAGCGAACCGTTTAGGAGTTAAGTTTTTTGAATAATGACATATCAAAATTATTAATAAATATACATAAACGACATTTCTACAGACCTCTGTCCTGGGAAAAAGGGAGTAGTACACATTGTGACCACCCAAAGGATCACAGACTTTTGCGGCTGTCAGTAGAGAGGAAGAAGCCGACCTGAAAGATTTATTTTATTAAATAATGATGTAAATACAAAAATGTGGCTAATAGACATTCAGTAAACATTATCATCAATTTTTGAGCTACCTAGGCTAGACTATTACATACTAACTATAAACATTATGGATCAAGAAAAGATAAGAACATTAGGAAAAATATTATTCCACTACATTAAACACAACAATATCAAGACTGACAGATATATGCAAATTCATTTGTGAGAAATTGGGTTAGACTCTGCTATGGGATACCATCTTGTTTTGTAATTTAAAATGTATTTTTCCAAAAAGTCGAGAGATATTTAACTTTAAATACTAACCTTCTTAGACATACTTCACTGTTCACTGCGGCATACATAAAGGTACTCAGTTGTAAAGCACAAAGGGGTCTATTATCTAGATCGTTTTTATTCATATTAAATCTGAAAAACAGTAAATCTTGTTCCAGTGAAAGAATTCTTTTAAAATGCAATGTACACATCACGATCATGCAACATACACATCAGGATCACAGATTGTTTTAAACATTAATTAAAAAGATTAAAAGCCGATTTTTTTAATTCTCAGATAAACAGTCAAATAGCATTTATCCCATAGCTTAATTTTGGATTTTTCAAATCAGATAACTGTTATCTGGAGAAAAAAGCTTAAATTTGAGTAATAAACTTATGTGTCAGTTCAAGCCTCAGATAGATAGTAGCATAACGATTTTGACGTTTGTGTATTTCTTTACATTCTCTTTGTATTTGTTATGGTAAAGTTTATGTACATTTTCTCATTAAAACCTAAATTTTGTTGAAGTGAATAAATGTAATTTTGATGTTTTTGACTCGATCAACGACGGGAACCAAAGTGTTGTTAGAGAAAGATATGATATGCTTGGAATTATGAAGAATTTCATTCCAAATTATTAGCAAATTCATTTCACATTTCTCAAAATTTAATGTTCGTTCTCGCTCAATTCCTAATAGATTTCATTTTATGGAAGAATAACAGGAAAACATTATTATTATTAGGGTATTATGGACGAGCAGCAAACTTGCTGATGTGTCCACATCACTGCACTGGAGTAAGTTTGTGATGTAAGAGTTCCCGTGTACATGATTAAACGGTTGTTTAGTCCAATGGGTTGTGCTTTTCTAACCATGTATCTAGTTGGCACTTAAAACTGTTCACTGACTTTACGGTCACAACATTTTCCGGCAGCTTGTTCCATATCGCAACAACACGATTGTTCAAAGTGTGATAGGCTACCAGCGACTGTGAGTGTGAGCGATCTATTGCGAAGCTGTGTCCCCGTGATGAGTACGCCTTGCGCTGGAGGAGGAACATATCCTTGATATTTGGAAGATTATATCTTGAGCTTAGTATTTTATAGGTTTCAATAAGATCGCCTCTCATCCTGCGATGTTTTAATGTCGGTAATTTTAACACTTTTAAGAGTTCCTCGTAAGTCTTATGTCGCAGTCCATACGGTATCCTAGTTGCTCGCCTTTGCACACTTTCCAGCAGGTCAACGTCCTTTACAAGGTAGGGATTCCAAATTTGAAAACCGTATTCTAACAGAAGCCTGACATAAGTTTTATAAATTTTGGTGAAAACTGAAGGTGTCATGTGTTGGAATGCACGTCGTATAGCATATAGGAAGGAATTTGCCTTTTTAACTATAATATTGATGTGGTCAGCCCATTTTAAGTTGCTGGTTATCATTACTCCAAGCTCTTTTTGCGACTTGACAGATGCAACTATTGTGTCACCTATTGTGTATGGTACTTCAGGTTTGTTCTTACCCAGACGCAATACTGTACATTTGGATGCATTAAGCTTCGCAATCCACTCTTTGGTCCACTCTTGTAAATTATCCAGATCTGATTGCAGTTGTCCTGACCGAATGACAGGATCACCAAAGAACTTTCCATCATCAGCGAAAAAGCAAGACCCACACTCTATTAATGCTATTAAATCTGCAGTGAAAATGTTGAACAGGATAGGAGAGAGAACTGAGCCCTGGGGGACACCACTCAGGACCTTCATTGTCTCAGATAATGTGTCACCGACTCTGACTTGGTATGTTCTATTTGCAAGGTAGTTTTCAAGCCATTTTAGGAGATTTCCACGCATACCAAAGTGCTCAAGTTTCAACAATAGTCGATTGTGAGGAACCTTATCAAAAGCACGTTCGAAATCCAAGTAAGTGACGTCCATACTTCTTTTTTGATCAAGTTCCCTTGACCACGTGTTAACACATGTTAGTAGATTAGTTACCGTGGATCTCCCCTCAACAAAGCCATGTTGTTTCACAGAAATAATGTTCTGTCTGTTGAGGAATGACCTGATATGGTTTGATATGATCTTCTCCATACATTTACCTATAGCACTTGTGAGGCTTATAGGCCTAAACTTAGCCGGGTCAGTCTTATCACCGTTTTTGTATACAGGTGTCACTATGGCATGTTTCCAATCCCTGGGTAATCTATTGTTTGTAAAGGAGGTTCTCATTATTTCTGCCAATACAGGAGCAATCAGGTCTGCACTGTTTCTTAGTACTATATTTGGTATACTGTCTGGTCCTGGTGATGAGTTTACCTTAAGGTTCTTTAGTACTTTTGCAATTTCCTCTTCCTCAAATGGGATATCACATAGGGAGGCTTGAACGCGTGCAATGCCACTAATCTTAGGTATATTGTTTATAGGTGGTTCCTCAGAGTATGCTCTACTGAATTCCTTAGCAAATGTATTAGCAATATCCAGTGGACTAGTCACTAGGTTGCCAAGCGGGCTCCGCATAGCAGGTGGAATGCTAACCTTAGAGGATGTACACCTACGCAAGTATGAATAGAAGCATTTGTCTCCATGTTTAAGTATGTCTGCCTCATAGTAACTTCTATACTTTCTACACTCATTAACGCATTTGTTGCTAATGGTCCTATATTCCAAGTAGTCTTCTGTTGTTTTACTGGCAGAGTATACATCCCAAAGTTTGTGTTTTGTATGTGTTAGTTTTAATATGTGCGGTTTGATCCAAGGTTTATTTTTGTTTTTCTGCCTGACTGTCATTGGAGGGGCGTGTTTTTCTATGTTAGCATTCAGTATTGTTTTTACAATGTTCCAGAAATCTTCCACTTCTTCAGTTCTGACTATATTATTTAGGTCTTCGCAGAGGTCCTTGTTAAACTTATTGAAGTCAATCTTTTGATAGTATCGCTTCTGTTGCGGGTGGGAATCTGATGGGCAAGTGAGGCACTGCATTTGAAGGTGCAATACACAGTGATCGCTCTTGCCAATAGGTGGTAGATGGTTTATACTGGATATCATAGAACCATCGTTAGTCATAACGAGGTCCAGTAGTGATGGTATATTGTTCTGCCGAAATCTTGTGGGGCCGGATACTAGCTGATGGAGAAACATAAGTCAAGAAACATAGTCTGAAACAACTGTGATGCGTCACTCAGTCTTTGGTCTTGGTGTGAACACATAGGCCAGACGAGGTCCGGGTAGTTGAAGTCTCCCATGATAAGTATGGTGTTGGTTTCAGAAGCATGTGATATATTATCAAGTAAGACTTTGTCGTCTTCTGCCCAGTTAATATTAGTATCAGCACGGTAGACTCCAACTAGTACAAAATGGTAATGCACAAATTGTATATCAAGATATAGCGCCTCCACCATGTCAGCCATATACTGGTTATTCTTGCGTGCAATTATTGGGATGCCATTAACATTGCTTCTGACATAAATTGCTACACCACCGCCCCTTGATTTTCCACCTTCGGCCCTTGGCCGCTTTTTGCGGTCTTTTCTAAAGAGAGTGTAGTTTGGTATTGCATAGGTACTGTTCCTGTCATTATTATTAAGCCATGTTTCTGTAACAATTATGAATGTGGGTTTTTGTGCGTTTATGTCAAGAAGAAATAAGTCGAATTTAGCGGGTAGTGAGCATAAGTTGGTATAATAAAATGTAAGGTTGGTGTATGGAGTGTTACTACTTATTAGTTTTTTGTCTTGATAATCTTTGGCATTCCGCTAACATATTTTATAGTGATATCTATCTCACCTTTATCCATTCTTTCTTTTAGGCTCTGGCGGAGCTGGTTGAGTTCTTCTCGTTGCTGTGGTGTTCTGTCATTATAGATTCTTACCTCCTTACGCACTTTTGCCTTGTTTCTTAGAATGTGGACAGCATCAGATCGACTCTTTAGAACAACTTTCATAGGCCAGGGCTTTGAACTGTCTTTTTGACCTAAGCGAATTATCTTGACCACTTTAGCTGAGGCTCCACTATCCCCAGTGATTTCCTCTAAGATTTCTTTAAGTCCTGATTCGTCATGGGCACTGCGACTGTCTTTATCATCCAAGTCGGATTCTGTTATACCAACCACAATAATGTTATTAGCTCGACGCTCACGTTCTGCCATTTCTCCAATAATGGAGTTCGCATCAATGGCACCCGTTGTCGGCTGCGAAAACGCCGGTTTCCTTTGGCCGGGAGTTTGCTGGGCAAGTTGTTTTTTTATGTCATCCAGCTCTTCTCGCACTGCATCATAAGACTTTATCAATTTTGGTACTTGAAATAAGGCCTCACGACAAGGCGCGCACAGGTACAAAAGAGTGCGTCGCGACTTGAGCCCCATAACTCTAGCCTCACTACTTGTCAAGTTGCTATATTTCGAGCACACACCGCGCTTGCACCCATCACACTGAACAGCATTGTCGTCATTACTGACATCACTTTCGCATTGAAAACACTTCATTTTAGGTAATTTTCGTTGGTATGAATTTAAGGAAGTTCGTAAATTTCTTAACTAAATAAGATATTATGTTTAATGATTGAAAACCACTCCACTATTTATAATAGTGCACACATATCACTTATTGTTGATTTTAACACGGTTTTTGGGAAGAATTTAGCACAAAATATTAATAAATACACAATTTTAATCGCGACTAACTTTCCAGCACAGTTAACTTCACGGAGGGTAGACGAGAAAAAAAAAATTAGGTTTGTTTTAATATCTAACAAGCAATAATAATATTTAGGGCATTTGACACAGAACGCCATCTAGTTTCAAACTAAGCAGAGCTTTTACTATGAAAGTTATATTGACTAATATCAATGACAGAAAATAGAAAATAGTGACACAAAGGACATCATTCAAAATGTACCCAAAAATTAAATTGCCGGCCAGTAAAAAAAAAATTGTGTCATCTTACAGCAAATGATCTTTTAAACAGTTTTTATTATTTTAACAAACGTCTACGACCAACTTTTAGACCCTAAATGGATCTCCGAAAATCATAAAATGAGCACAATTTCAGCCGATGTCCGCCGATATGAGTTCGTTGATTTTCCAAGGCTCTCAGAAGAGGATTTAATATTATTTACTTTGTGTATTTATCAAATAAAACAAGCTAAAAGCTATTACGGCGAGCACATCAATCCAAATGGTATTTTTACGGTCGAGCTTGGCGACAGACTTTTAACAGAACAAGTCAGAGAATTGGTAGAAAACATAATAATTATAAGAGGAAGAGTACAATCTCGGCATGTTCGGGCCAGAGTATATTATGTTTACATTGGCATCGACACATCGTTGAGTGGCCGTGATGCCATACCGTAGTATTATTGCTATGCAATGTTGGCAAAAGAACGGTGGGCTGCTGTTCCCACACTATGTGCATAGTGTGGTACATGACGTTCGCCATAAATCGACCTCCCATAAATCCACCTGCTTTAGGTTTAGAAAATGTTATCGTAAGACCTGCGGAATTATAACATATGAATAAAGCCACGTAGGTAACGAAATAAGGTCTTTTCTTTACATATATTTTATAACACTAATACCTACACATAAATACCTACGTAGGTACTTAGGTACCTAATGATGATTGTATATAATTAGGCTTTTGTCATATTATATTATTATTAAGCGAGATTAAGTTATTCTTTTTCATCATTATTTGATTTTCGCTATAGTAATGAAGTAAAAATTGTTCAGACGAACTCATATAAATGCATTTTTTTATTATTTCTAAGTCATATAACTCCTAAGTAATCGGTCTTAGTATGTCTAAGTAATGTCATTCTCTAACCGATAAAACCATTTTTTTTCGTTGGCCGGCACTGTTTTTTTTGGGTACTTTTTGTATGGAGCGTAAATGATGTCCTTTTGTCTAATAGCTTGTTATCCTTATCTCACCTGTTACTTACTTGAAAATTACATTCAACAGTGAATGTAATTTTAAATGCAATAATGATTATTATTATTACTTACTGTATAGCTGCATCTCGCTTGAGCGTGTTTACTGCGAACTTAGCTCTGACCATCAGGCCATTAAGTAAATCTATTGGTTAACACTCGATTGAAAAACACAAAAAGTTTATTCGCTTGATAAACAGCCAGATAAATTTATTCACAAGTTAGTTAACTGACAGTACAACTGATAAATTAAAAACCGGCCCTTAAAGTTGTTAGATAGGTTGCCCTATTATTTTAGAACATTAGATTCAAAGAGAGATGAAACAGAGCTTATACTGTGCTATAATACTTTTTTAAACAAAAATAAACATACCTGTCATAGCACTGTTCAATTTTGGTTATTTCATCAAATCTTGACTGAGGTAAATAAAATATTGGAAAAGGAATATCTCGTCTCAAGAGGCCAGTTCCCTTAGCATTCCATACAACTCCTGCTCCAGAAGATGAACAAGTACTTTCTTCAGCTGAATAATATTCATTTGGGCATTTTGTTTCTGGTGTAAAAGATGTAGTACTGAAAATAAAAAATCATATACATATATTTAAATGATTAAATAATTCAACACAAAAAGAAATAAGTTGGGATTTCGAATCTCATACACACATTTATGCACTTTAAAACCTTGGTTAGCTATGCTCTCAAACCTTAACTACTCTATAGATCATCATGGTTGATCCAGCACACAGAGCAAAGCAAGGCATGCAGGAAACTTTTCATACAGAAAAAATATAATTAATGAGACTGTTACTGTTGTATTTATTGGCAACACCATCCCTCATCAGCAAGTTAAGGTAATAACTAGTGTTTGCTTGTAAAGAAATTGGACCTTTTCCAAAAGTAAATGTGCAAACACTTTGCTAAATAATTTAATGGTTGTAACTAATTGTGCAATGCACAAATTGCAACTTGCACTAAATAAATTGCGCTAAATAAATAAATAAAGTTTAGGATAATATTAGGTCCTTACATAAAAAAATTAGCGTTTTGTCGTAATGACCACTTTTATCTGAAATATCTCCTCTTTGGTTAAGAATTCTAAATTCAAATTTATAAATTCATTTAGATGGTACATTTGAGTTTTGAAAACAGTCATTCATTTGTTTTTTCCTCATTATTTCTTTCTTTGGCGTCGCTTATTACCGCACAATGGAAAACATGAAATATCGGTTTATTTACGACGTTCTACCGTGGCACCAGTGCTGCAGAAACAGCTCGAAGGATTAATGATGTGTACGGCGCTGGTGTCGCAAAGAAAGCACGGTACGTTTTTGGTTTTAACATTTTCGTTCTGGTTATTTTGACCTTCAGAACCAACCCCGTGTACGGCCAGACACCAAAGTGGAAAATGAAGAATTAAAGGCTATTGTGGAAGCGGATCCATCACAAAGCACTTCAAAGATAGCTGCAGGCTTCGGGGTAAGTGGTAAAACTGTATTAATCCACTTGAAGCAAATAGGGAAAGTAAAAAGCTTGTACGACGTGTACCTCATGAATTGAGTGAATCGAACTTGCAAACACGCTTCGACTGCTGTGTTACATTGCTCAACCGACACAATAATGAAGGGATTTTAAATCGAATCATTACTTTTGATGAAAAGTGGATACTGTACGATAATCGGAAGCGATCGTCGCAATGCCTGAACCCTGGAGACCCACCCTGCCCTAAACGAAAATTGACTCAGAAAAAGTTACATGTCGTGAGTGTTTGGTGGACTAGCGCCGGTGTCGTTCACTACAGCTTTCTAAAATCAGATATCTATTGTCAGCAACTGCAAACCATGAAGGAAAAACTAGCTGCTAAACAACCGAGATTGGTCAATCGCTCTAGGCCACTGCTGCTTCACGACAACGCAAGACCGCACACTGCATAACAAACAACCACTAAGTTAGATGAGCTACAATTGGAATGTCTGCGAAATCCACCGTACTCCCCGGACCTTGCTCCAACAGATTACCATTTTTCCAGACTTTGGACAACTTCTTACAAGGAAAAAAAATGAACTCCGATGCGGCAATCCAATTCGCCTTCAAAGAGTTTATTGATTCTTGCCCCCTTGGTTTTTTTAGTAAAGGTATCAATGAACTACCTATGAGATGGCAAAAGTGCATAGATAACAAAGGTGCATACTTTGATTAATTAAATATATTTTACAAAAAAAAATGACTTTATATTCCACCCATACAAAATGCCAATTTCAAATGTAAGGACCTAATAGTTTCATAAGCTCACTTCATGCATGCTTTTGATTTCATTGAAAACTTTTGCTCATGTTTTTATTTCATTGTCATCTCCAAAAGTCAATAAAAAAGGATTACTTGAATGTGATAAAAAGTTCTAACAAACATTTTTTTTTGGCACAGTCACACAACGCCATCTAGTCACAAACTAAGCAGAGCTTGTACTATGGGCACTAGACCACTGATATAAATATTACATGGGCTGAAAAGTCCCGGGCCTAACACATAGATCGCGCTAGTTTTATTGCAGTCACCTTTTTTTCAGTTAATACTAACCTTCAAAAGACAGCTGTTAGAATTTCACGATATTCTATTCATTAGTTTGTGAGTTATTGTGCTAAGAATGACGCTACTTTTGTTATTTTCAAAACAATGGATCATAAACAATTTCGTGTTTTAATTTTACACTGCTTCTTGATGGGAAAAAATACCGTTCAAGCGAAGCAATGGCTTGAAAAGTGTTATGGGGACTCCGCTCCATCAGAAACAACAATAAAACGTTGGTTTGCTGACTTCAAACGTGGTCGTAGAGACACCGATGATGCAGAACGCAGTGGACGTCCAAATGAGGCGGTAACACCAGAAAACATAAAAAAATCCACAAAATCGTTTTGAATGATCGAAAAGTGAAGTTACGTGAGTTAAAGATATCAAAAGAACGTGTTGGCTTTATATTGCATGAGCATTTGACTATGAGAAAGCTGAAGAATCACTGTTGACCAAAAACGAGAACATGTTGATGATTCTGAGCAGTGTTTGGCCATGTTAAAACGTAACAAACTGGATTTTTTTGCGTCGATATGTGACAATGGATGAAACATAGATCCATCACTTCACTCCGGGATCACAACGATCGTCATCTGAGTGGACAGCAACTGGTGAACCTCGTCCAAAGCGCCCGAAAGCACAACAATCGGCTGGAAAGGTTATGGCCTCGATATTTTGGGATATGCGTGATGTAATATTCATCGACTATCTTGAGAAAGGAAATACCATTAACAGTGAATATTATATAGCGTTATTGGAGCGTTTGAAGGCCGAAATTGCAAAGAAACGACCGCATATGGCAAAGGAAAAAAATTTGTTTCATCAAGACAATGCACCGTGTCACAAGTCAATCAAAACAATGGCAAAACTACATGAATTCAATTTCGAATTGCTCCCACATCCACCGTATTCGCCAGATTTGGCTCCCAGCGACTATTGGCTGTTCGCAGACCTGAAAAAAATGCTCGCCGGTAAGAAATTTCGCACGAATGAAGAGTTATCGCTGAAACTGAGGCCTATTTTGAGGCAAAAGATAAATCGTTCTACAAAAGTGGTATTGAAATGTTAGAGCGGCGCTGGAATGATTGCGTTGCTCTTGATGGAGATTACATTGATGATTAAAGTTAATTTTGAACCAAAAAAACTGTGTTTTCTTTGTTAGGCCCGGGACTTTTCCGCCCATGTGTTACATATATACTTTTTATCTGTAAATACATACTTATATACATAGAAACACCCATACCAAATCAAACATTTAATGTTCACGCACACAAATGTTTCACTTGAGCGGAAATCAAACCAGCGACCTTTGGGATGGCAGTCCGTTACATAAATCACTACGCCATTCGGTCGTTAAAAGCTTTTTCTAGATAATATTAGTACATAGTATGTAGTCAGCATGAGTTAGGTTTTTTTTTTATATACTACTACCTAATCAAAAACTTATGAGATATTTCAAAGTAATGTACTTATACTCTCACAAAGCCAGGGTGGGTTGGTCCATTTTATGGTATTTCTAAATATTTTCTTTTACTTGACCATAATTCTAATGCTTACCTGTTTACATCATACAAAAGCACTCCAGCAACATGAGAAGGCTGTTCCATAAACAACTCAATGACATCGTTAAACAGAGCAGTGTTAACTATAGCCATGTGTGGTCCCACTGTAGAGTTTTGTATAATCCATTGTGCATCACTAATATCTCTGATCATCTGAACGACACCCACAGCACCATTAATAGCAGCTGTATAATACAATAATTATAGATGAAAGTGATACAATGTTATTAACCAAGTTCTTTTTATGGTATAGGGGCAAAGAAATAGACAAGAAAGATGAAAATTCAAGGGACACAAACACATTTCCGGTCTTTAAGTGCCCCCTTCAGAATTAGATTACAGAATTAGGGGGGCACAGGGTAAGGCCTCAAGTCACTTTGCGCACAACAAAAGAATTGCTTAACACCAGAATGCCAATTCTCGTACTCAATTTAGATCCCAATATCACAACTGTCAAAAAAGGTATTTTCATAGTAAAGTATTAAACATCCAACGTTGACAGTTATGTGATTGTATATCATATTGTAAACGAAAATTGAATCGGTGACCTGCTAGTCTTAGTATTATTCTACTATGAAAATACCTTTCATGACAGTTGTGAGATCGATAGTTGATCGGAACTGAATTGTAACCGAAATTTTAGTATGAGAATAGGCCCTTCAGTTTTCTAAGAGGTGATGGTCTTTCACTGGTCGAGCCCTCCCCTATTAGCAGAAGCACAGCTGTCTTACTGCTATTATTGTTTTCAAACCACTGTGTTAAACAGTTATGATTGTAGTCCTTACCAGTCTGCATAGTTACAGAGCCATATAAACTTTTTTGACCATTTCATATACTTACATGAGCATCCTGCTTGGTGTGTTCCATTTAGACGTCGAAAACATGCTGCACCTCCTTCTATTGATGAATATATTTGTTCTGATAACCTTTCTGAGCGAATAGCTTATGAAACAAAGAGGTAAAACGAGTTAGATATGAAATGTTTTCAAATCATATAATATTAAACTTATACCGTGGGGCATGATTCATTCGAGATTAAGATATTCCAGCTACATTTTAAACTAATGATGAAGATTAAAGAAAACCACAAAACAATCTTTTGGCCTAAGTTTTGTCTTTATCTGGTTTCAGACTAGATCTTAGCTTCATCACTCACCTGTTGACACACACACACACACACTTTTAATTATTTAATAGTTATTTTTATATTTTCTAAATGATACTTACAGGTATATAAACTAAAAAACACTAACAAAACTTGGCAAACAGATAATGCCATTATTGCTTCATAACTCTTATTCTGAACAATTTTTTATGGTGATCTAAAATACTGTTATAGTATTCATTACTTAGGAAGAAGTACCACCAAATCACAATCTTAATGTCATTGCCTTTCTAACGTCAAAAGTCAGTATTTTACATAGGGATTTAACCTAGAGGGAGCCCTAATCTTGCAATTTGTGCAACGACAGAGATGGATAATAGTTAGTCCCCCTATCTCTTTCTAGCCGAGTTCTGTGGTTAGCTGGGGAATATGAGGGGTTATTAATCTGTACGCTTAGGTCTTTCAAACTACGCAACGAATTGGTTCTCATCAATACAGATGATCGTGAAGAGAGTTTTCATGTTAGTGCATGCATATTATAGTACAGGAAAGTCGAGAGTTTCAAAGTTATGTTATGTGAAGTCGTAAAAAAAGTGTTTTTGTGCGCTTACATTGCAAACGCTGGCTAAACCTAATGGTATAGGTCAAAACAATGTGCTACTAAATTGTATATCTTAACAAGATTTAAAAAAAAGTCTTTGCCTGTGTCTGCACCTCTCGTTTTATTCTTGTACCGGTAAAATTGATAGAGACCTCTGGTAGCAGATTAATTCCTTCGGTAGGGGATAGAATGGTTATACCTGGTACCCCGGCTATTAGTACCCAAGACGGCGTGCGGTTTTAGTCGGTTCGAGTCCGACATGCCACCGATAGGTGGTATCCGAGGGGATTTCCGCACGGAAAAAAAAAGAAAAAACAAGGGGATAGGATGGCGCCATTACCACATTAAGATGCAATCAGGCTGCCACGCCGCGATTGAATGTAATTTCCCCTGGGATAGAGCCTGTCAAACGTGGTGACGATTTGGGGAGGACCTGAAATCACATGGTCTGGGTCCTCTCAAATTAGGGCCCTGTCAGGGTGGTTTTTAGTAGCATCACCATTTACTCCTGGCTCCTGAGTTCCCAAGGAGCAAGAGATCCAGAGGGATTTTCCATCCTGTCACCAAAAAAACAAAAGAAAACGAATAAAAAGGTACGTTGTACATTAGATCGTAAGGTTTTATCCAAGTTCATCGGTAGGCCGATGCGTACAGAAGTGTCAGCTTGGTCATTTAGCATCTGTTGTAGGTCCTGCAACGTCTCTGCCATGATAACATTTTCGTCTGCAAATCGCAAGTGAGAGATGTATTCGCCATTGATATTGATGACCTTGCCAACGCTGCAGGGACTCTAGAACAGACCAGATCTCGATCGAATCAAAGGCTTTCTCATAGTCCACGAATGCTAGACACAGGGGCTGATTATATTCTTTTGCTCCATCGCTCTTTCAATTGAAAGAGTATTGGAGCACCGGAGGCCGTGTCGTACGAGTTTACTGATCTCTCGATTTAGAGTCCGCTTTGCCGACAAAGTGACGGGTGGGTTTTCACGTCGTTTCTTCATCAGCCTTTAGGGTCCTTTCTAACAGCTTCGACTTCCTGCCCTTACGCTGCATTTCACAAAATCTCGTACCTTCTTCCCTGAGGATCCGAACCACATTTTCGAGGTTCTGGTTTACGTCGGCTGTGGTTTCCACGGCAGCGAATCGGTTTTCCAGTTTTGACTAGAACGTTTCAGATCCTGTCATGGCTTGGAGCAGAGTCGGTCGGAGCCTGGATTTCATTAAACAGACACGTTCAGCCTTAAAGTTGATATTCAGAGAGCCCCGGACAAGTCGGTGATCACTACCGGGATTAAACCTATTGAATACTGAGACGTCTCTGAATATATGCTTTCTATCCGTCATGATGAAATCGATCTCATTTCTGGTCATAGCGTCGGGGCTATGCCACGTCCACTTCCTTTGGGGCTGTTTCTTGAAGAAAGTTGACGTTCGAGGAAGTTGACCAGCATTTGCACCCTATGATTCCTATGATTCCTGCTTCCAAATCCATGAGATCCTACTACCAATTCGCCGCAATTCTGTACTCCCACTTTAGCGTTGAAGTCACCCGAGTGTGCCAAGATCGGTGCGTACACTTGCAAAAACTTGAGACTATACCTCTCGGTGAGCTTGATAATGAGGTACGCTACCCTGTTCGACCCACTCGAAATTTCCACAACGTTGTCAGAAAGGGACTTATTTACCAGAAACCCAACACCACCTTGGGATTGTTGCTCTCCCTCGCGAAAGTACATTAGGTGGCCTGACTCAAGGGTTACGGTGTCCTCCCCCTCTCTTCGGACTTCACATAGCCCTAGGATATGCCACCTAATCTTCCCAAGTTCCACCTCAAGTTGCGCCAGATGCGAGTCTAGCCGTAGCGAGCGTCCGTTGTACGTAGCCAGGGTCAGTCGGTTGTGGTGGCCTCCCGTAGCCCGGAGATTCTTCGCACCCCTGCCCCGCCGTTACATTGGTCGCCACCATGACCAGGAATAGCGGGGCCACCGGGAACTGGGGGCCGTGGCCTTTGTTGCGTCTGCATGGGGAGGTTTGCCCATAATCGCCACGCTGGGCAGGCGGGTTGGCGATCGCAGGGCGTAGCTTGTTGCACCGGTAACGCTGCTGCCCGTCACCGGCCTGTTGTATTTAGCTACGCCTATTGGAATGGATATACCGCCATCGGTCGGTCGTCAGAGCCTCGTTCGTCGTTCAGCATCATGCACCGCGGGCAGATGAGGTTGGATTGGGGCGAAAGATGGTGGTTCGCCCCTGACACCCCTCAGTAGATACCAGAGATTTAAAATGCGGGTGCTGTGCGTCTGTCCCGGTTAGTAGCAGCCGGGTAGGGTAGGAGCGGAGCGGGCTTATAAATATATAGTATAGTCTTATCATAATAATAGTATGAATAATGACTCCATACTGACACCATATTAGTAGTATTAATGTATCTACATTGCACCCGTGCGAAGCCGGGGCGGATCGCTAGTAAAATTTAAACCAGAAAAAATTAGTAATGTTCATTTTTTGGTTTTTAAAACTAAGGTGGCAACTCTGTTAGTAACCACAGCAGAATATTTATTGACGCCATTTGTATAACGACAGCTGTGTTTTACGTATAAAATAAAACCACAGCTCATTTGGAACACGGGCTCATTGAAGTTTTATTTTCTTCACTGTTGAGAAAATATTTTCGTTATGTCGGAACAAGCGGAGGTGCGGGTATGTTCAATCGCCTTTATTACTTACAATAATGGACAAGCTTCCATTGTTCAACCTTGTCCATTGGTCGATATTTTTTTCTGCGGTCCCAATTATAAGTTTATTTAACTAATGAGTGTTTGTAAAAGCTGTTATATAATTAGCTCCATTTGTTTATAATAAATGCAATATCGTGTGCGTGGCATGTGAAAAATGCTTTCGTTCAATTACACGGTAGATGTACACATAAAAATCGCTCCACCATTTTATGTTTCGCAATTCTACATAAATTTACGGTTTGATTTTAGAATACGTAACGGCTAAAATTATAATAAACTTCTCTAACAGATTGTAGCTTAAGTTGTACTCCAATATCAATTTTTCTGTATACTTTTTAGTAGGTAGTGAAACAAAGGTACTGGCAAATCCACACGTGCATTTTCGAAATTGCGTTGCTATTCATCAGACATGATTTTTTTTAATGATTTATAGACTAATCATTTACTTGAAAGTATAGATTTAAATAATTGACATAAACCAATAAGTTTTGGAAATTTATAAATTTAAACCTTGTTAAAGAAGGGACTAATAATAATTGTCTATATTAGTTTTTAATGTTAAATATATGTACCTACATGGATAATAACAAATATTTTTTGTAGCTGTTTACCTACCTACATATAAAGTAATTTATACAATATAGCATTTATCATAGCATAGATCTTTCACCAAAACTGTTTTTTTTTGTGATCTTGTTTCTGTTTATAGTTTCTATCTTTTTTGCTATTATAAAAACTGAAACATTTAATTAACTCAAAAGCTATGAATATGTTACTCTTGTAATGGGGTAGTTGACATACAAGTTTTATATATTATACAAATTTAAACAATAATAAAACTGCAGTTTAGGTAAATTGTATTGGTGATTCTTCTTTCTGTTTTCCTCTAAGTCATTGTTAGCAAAATATATGTTTTAAATGATTATACAGTTTTAAATGTGTAGTTCTGATATTCAAATTCAGTAATACCATCAGACATTTCTAGGATTTATTAATTCATAAATTATGTTTCAGTACCTTTCAGAAATGTTAAGATTGATAATATTGTTTGTTGTTTCCTATTTTTCTGAATGATAGTAACAACTGCCCTGAATATTATCCATCAACAACGCCATCTAGTTACAAACTAAGCAGAGCTTGTACTACCAAAGCTAGATTGACTGATAGAATACTTATATGTTTTTTTTTGTAAATACATACAAATTATACATAGAAAATACCCAAACTTCGAAACAAACATTTTTTCTGACCCGGGAATCGAACACGAGATCTCAGCACCGCAGTCGCACACTCTACCACTGCACCAACGAGACAGTCTTATTATCCTGCTTATGCAGTAGTAGTGACCCTAACTGCTGAGCCAGAGGTTATGGATTTGATTCCCAACTAAGGCAAATAGTTTGAGTTAGGCAAACAGATAGTGTAAATCTAAATCATATTTTTATCAACAATCTGGCACAGGCACATAGTACAGGCTCTGTCTCATTTGGGATCAACTGTGTGTGAGATGTATAAAGTTATTATTAAAAATAACAATAACTTATTACAATATTAGTTCTATTCTCATTATTAATAACACAATTAAGAAAAATATTTATTTGTAAACAATCATAATTTTCATGTAAATAAATTTCATTCATCACTTACAAAGGAAAGTGAAATTAAAATTGATTATGAAAAAACTTAAAAAATAAGATAGATAGTAAGTCAATTTGTTATTAACACTATGAATCTTGTTACTAGAAAAAAAAACATAGGTACATAGAAGTTAAATTAAAGCAGCTTGAAAATGTAGCACAACTTACTGAAAAATAAACAGGGCAGTAGACAGCTAGTTTAATAATGTTCATGGATACTTCTTTTATTAGTCTGAATTAAATTTTCCTTTTTTTAATGTTATAATATTCTTTTATTTTACAGCCTGATGCACTGCCAGATTTAGATGACCTACTTCAGTGCCCTGTCTGTTATGAAATTCCTTCAGGTCAAATATTTCAATGCAATGAAGGACACCATGTTTGTGGACGCTGTAAAATGCGTCTTGATGTGTGCCCAGTCTGTAGAGCTCTATTTTTTGGAACTCGAAACTATGCTATGGAGGAATTGATTGCAAATGTTAAAAAATTACGAGCTTTTGTAAGTAAACCTATTTTATATACATTTCTTATTATAGACAATTCTTATAAAACTAGTAGTCCTGTCAATATTCAACATAAGAAATGTTATATCTGAAAATTATTTTAAATTACGTTAGAATGCAGCTACTTTACATATTTATACATAAGTGGAATATTCAGTCACAAATAATATAAGTTTAAGTAAAAGAGAATTGGCAAATGTTTTATCGCACCCTCAGTATTATTAGGGATTAAGTTAACATTTAGAGAGGTGTGATTTTAAATAAAACAGGACACAAAACGAAATTCTCTACCGGTTAGCATTCACAGAGAATGGAGTTTTAGTATAGTCAATAAATTGTTTAATAATTTCCCTTACAAAAATTGCAGCTATGAGTTAGCTGCAATTTTTGTAAACTGGGTGCAAACTGGGTAGGTGATAAATAATAGCAAAAATAAATTAATTTGTAAAGGTTATTTTTTCTTAACAAATAAAAAAAAATGACAGTTAAGAAGCAGATGTAGCAAAAAACATGTATGTATTGTAGGCTATCTAACAAGGTATAATAGTCTAAGAGAATATAAAAATTCATAGAAACAAACTTAGATGAATGACCGCTGGTATTAAGAATTGGCATGTAACTCTAAATTAAGTAAATTAATTTTAGTAAAGTAAATTCTGTACTCTTATATGTATTGTAACTTAATTTATATTAATATGTATTTCAGAAACTAGGTGGCAAAGTAACTACAAATACTGTTCCTGAGAACACTACACCAGCTAAAGAAAAACCACCAGAAGTAGTTGAGACTGAAAGTGCTGGAGATGATGAAAGTGAAGTTCAGTCTAATGTGAGTTGTAATCCACTGTATAATTTATGTAAAATATATAGTTAGCATTTTGCAACTGCTCACCTATTTTAATGTCAATGTCACTAATGATTTAATTTTAATATGGTAAATTGTAATGTAATTATTACAAACATAGACTATCTCTATTGGTATATGCATGACATAAGATTTAGATAATACTGTGTGGTGACAGATTAAGAATACAGAGTGTCACCACGCCTATTCGTCCTTGGGCGTCGTAAGAACCGATTAAGTGAGCAGACTGCTTGCAGTTTTCTCAAGTAAAACTTGTAACAAACCCTTTTTTTTTTTTTTTTTTTTAACGTGTGGAAATCCCCTCGGACCGTCACCCCTCCGGGGTTTGCGGTGGGGTGGTGTGTCGGACTCGGACCGACTAAAACCACACGGTGTGCCACTCTGCGCCTGTAACAGGAGGGATCCGGGAACAGCTGTTGTTAAGACATCCGGACCCCTCCTAGCGCCAGCCCGCTCCTGGTGCGGGCTCCGTCTCAATGTAGATGTTCCTCTCTTTAGGCGACGTCCGGCACACGCGGACGCCGCCCCCTCGCGGCTGGCCAACTAATGCGGGTGGAGGGGAAACCCACCCCGTCCACCCGCGGCCACACTCAGGGCGGCATGAGGCTGTGGTAGGCGGGCCTCCGCCGCCCGGTTCGCCGGCGGCGGATCGGGTCCGAGTGGAGGTCGTCCTCCCGGGCCCTCTCCGCCGCCTCCTTCCGCGAGATTACTACCTCGCAGAAGGTTGCGACCGCGGTAAAACAACTGTCGCTACCGGCCATGAGAGCCACGAGCGAGAGATCCACTCCGATGACTGCAGTGAGGGCCCGGCGCTGCGCCGCCCATGCGGGGCAGACCGCCAGCGTGTGCTGGGCCGAGTCCTCACTGCAGTCGCAGTGGTGGCAGGCGGGACTCAGTTCCCTCCTAGCGACCGTGTGCAGGTACTTTCCGAAGCAACCGTGCCCGGAAAGCACCTGCGTCAGTCGGAAGGAAAGGGTCCCGTGCTGCCGCCCTGCCCACTCGGCGATGACCGGCTGGAGAGCCTCCACGGCGGCGAAGCCAGCGCGTGGAGTCTCCAGCCGGAACGACCAACGAGCCATCGTGGCTCGGCGAGCGGCTTCGCGCCACTCGCGCACATCCTCGGGCGGAGGGCGAAATCCGCTCTCCGCCCGGGAGTCAGCCACTCGCCGATAAACTTCGGCGAGCACTTCCGCCTCCAAATCCCACGGGGGAGTTCCGGCCAACGCGCATGCCACCTCCGTAGAAACGGTGCGGTAACCGCGTATGGCTCTGACCGCCATTACCCTCTGAGGGCGCCAGAGGCGTACCCTATTCTGGGCGGTCAGAGCCGCCGCCCACACCGGTGCACCGTACAGCGCCATTGACCGGACAACCCCCGTGTACAGCCGTCTTGTCGCGACGCTGGGTCCACCCATATTGGGCAAAAGTCGCCCTAGGGCAGACGCAGCGCCGACCAGCTTTGGAGCAAGCTGTCGGAAGTGCTCGTCGAAGAGCCACCTCCCGTCGAGGATCAGGCCCAGATATTTCATCTGGGCCCGAACCGGTACGAGGACCGAGTTGACCACGATTGAGGCGCCAGGGGGTGGACCACGACGGGGCCCATGAAATAACAGGGCCTCCGTCTTATCTAGGGCCACCCGTAAGCCCAGCGCCTCAATGCGCCCGACCACCAGGGAGACTCCCCCTGTGGCCAGGCGCGCCGCCTCTTGGAAGTTTGCCCCCCGGGCCGTCACCAGGGTATCGTCTGCGTAACAGATTACACCCAGCCCGGGGGGGAAATCGGCGCGAAGGGCCCAGTCGTACCCTATGTTCCACAAGAGGGGTCCAAGAACAGACCCCTGTGGAACACCGCACGACATGGGCCGACACCTCAAATAACCTTCTCGGTCCTCGTACACGACGGTACGCTCCTCTAAATAGTCTGCCACCAGCCGCCTCAGGTACTTTGGCACCCCATGATAGTGGAGTGCTTTCCTGATGCAGCTGAATGGCAGACTATTGAATGCGTTGGCGATGTCCAGTGACACCGCCAACAGCACGCCGCCACAGCTCACGGCCTCTTCGGTCACGGCCCTCAGGCGCAACACGGCGTCGACCGTCGAACGCCCCGCCCGAAAACCAAATTGGGCGTCCGACAGATCGGGGCCCACCTCGCAGAGGTGCCGGACGATGCGGGCAGAAAGAACCCTCTCAAACAATTTGCCCGCCTCGTCCAGCAGCACGATGGGCCTATAGGCCGCGACCGAATCGGCAGGCCGTCCCAGCTTCCTCAATAGGACCAGCTTCCCGCTCTTCCAGCACTCAGGGAAGCGTCTCGACGCCAAGCTAGCGTCGAACACCTCCCCGAGGCGGTCTGCCATGTGGTTGAGGGCCAGGGCCAGCACTCGGGCCGGTACCCCGTCTGGCCCAGGGGCGGTGTTCTTGGAACGGATCCGTAGAACAGCCGCCCCTACCTCCGATTCCCGGACGGGCGGAACATTATCCTCCCCGTGCTCCCCGTCGTCTCCGGCCAAGGAGGCCATCGACGGGGAAACCCTATACCAACCCATCAGGCAAGCATTTTATAATAGGCCAAAACCTCCTCTTCTTTGTATTGGCCTTGATGACGTAATGTAACAAAAATTTTCATCAGTGAATAAAGGAATCTTTAATGAATCACTTTGTAGTCCATCTATCTGTATTTGTCAAGTTTTTTTTTAGGAAAGTTGAATTAGCTCTGGCTGTAATCCTGTCTTCAAACTACTTCTTGTTTTAATTTAATAGTTCCATCACATTATTACATTCTACTAACTGGACATTCTGCGAATGCATCAGTCATTTTCATTCAAGTCTAATTCTAAAGTTTCACTTATTTCAACTAGTGCCGACTAATTAGTGGTTTAGCCATTTTTACCTGCAAAAAAATATATTTACGTAGAAGATACACAGAGTAAACAAAGATACGTGCCGTGCCTAGATGGGACCGTCCCTCAAACCCGAGCGCACGTGTTTTAAAATGTGTGCGTTGCCCCAGCGAAAAAGTTCGAATTTCATTATTTGAGTTTAACAGATATTTAGTGTATGATGTCGTGTAATTGTGTATAGTAAGTAAAAATTTGTGCATCCAACCATTGGGGAGTTATTCACGAAAAACTGTTTCCACTGGGACACCGTTGTCCCAGCGGCACTTTTTTTATCCTATGAACTTAGAAAATTAGATTTCATATAAAACGCTTTTCTAGAGAGGTGTAAATGTTTTGCATACGTTGTTTTGAATTTGTTTATACAGTTTGTAAAAACGTATTAAAAAAAAAAACATACCATTCAGAAGATATAAATTTAAACGTAAAATAAGGGTATTAGGTCCTAGTACTTAATGCTTATGCACTAGGATCTAGTTTATAACGTTTATACATACCGTGTAAGCATCTACAACGTCTTGCCAAGTGTCATTGATGTACTCTTAGTAATTAATAAGCTATGGGATAATTTACCATGACTGGAACACTGTTTCACATCCAGTCTTATTGTGAGACATTCCAAATTAGTGCATTAATTCAACTATTCACATGTAAAACTTCATTTCCTTACACTCAATATTTACCGAAATGCAATTAAAATACTGACTTCCACTGCAATTCGTACATAACACGACCTTCTTCCTGTTAAGGAAGTTTTGACCGACCAGCTTCCCGCTCTTCCAGCACTCAGGGTAATGTTCTGAAGCCAAGCTAACGTTAACACCTCCCTGAGATGGTCTGACACGTGTTAATCGTCACCCGTAAGTTACGTCCGTACCTCCGTACATCGTGCGATATATGATATACACACGCATACACAAAGAGTTACCGAAATGCAATTAAAATACTGACTTCCACTGCAATTCGTACATAACACGACCGAGTTCGCATGGCTACAAAAAAGCGGCCGTGCAGTATTTAATTTTATTATTTATTTAGTATATAGTAATTTTGTACCGTTGCGTACACAACGGATAGGTTTATTGGTTTAAGTTTTTTATCATTAAGCGTTCAAAAACTTCAAGTAATAATGACTTTTATAGATTTGAGTTTTAGGCATAAATTTATAGGTAAAAATATAGGGTATCTGAAAATGTGAAAAAAGAGCTCGTCTAAGCAGAAAATGCATGACGGAGTATTGTCAATTAATGCAAAAAAAAGGAACATATGACGGGCAATGACAATATCATGCTATATATTAAAACAAGTGAAAAAGTGACGTAATTGTTATTTGTAGCTTCATCGATAAATGTAACTGTCGTGCTTTTTCACTACCCATTTATATTCTGTATACTTCACTTTCACTTCTGAGAAAATGTTATATTTTTATAACTGTATTTCTCATGCCTAGTATATTAGTATAATCGTGCCTTATCTTCTATTATCTTCTTACTATTGGTTCACTATACTATTCCGTTTCTGCGCCTAATCAAATAGTTTCATTCCTACCGTGTTGACCGTATTCTATTGTTTTTAAATGGTTTAAGTTGACGTATTGCAAGCTTATTGCATTAGGAAAAATTATAGTAATATAAAACACAGAAGAGGAAAAGAAAAATCTGGATTGATAATTTGTGACAAAAACGCGCGCGGCGACAGCCGAACGGAGCCAATCGCTCGTCATAGCATACTTTTGATTACGATCACGTGACACTGAAAACGCCCGACGTTCGAACGAAAGTTCTGAATAGGTGCACTAGAAATCATTTTTTTTTGTTTTAAAAAGATAATAAAATTAAGGAGATGGATAGAAACAGTGGGACAGATATACATACATACCGAAATACACATACAAATGATGAATCTGCTAGGGTGTAATAAATGCGAGCTCAGACTTTCGTCGATGTCGAAATGATAGGCGGCTGTGTGCTATCCTAATTGTGATGTTATGATAATATAATATGTCGTATATTATATATTTTTTCTAAGATATCATTATGGTCTACCTATCTATGCAATGAATTGCCCATTATGAATTTTGGCACTTGATTATTCGTATGTTTTTATGTCATAAATATATCTGTTTTAAGAATCTTACATCATTAACCAAATACGCTGGCACTAGTAGTTGCAGAAAAAGCAAGCGACCTACAGGTAAATTAGCTTGGAGAAATTTTGGCGTTTGTAGTAGTGTAGTGTGCGGACAGCGTAAACTGGTTTATTCTGGTTTTGTGCGTGTTTCCACTTTCCACTATCAAGTGACGATTTTTTGCTTTAGATTGAAATATCTCGGAAACGGTGCGTCCTAGGCCAAAAATAACAAAAAATTTGACCCCCCCGTGGACCCCCCGGAGTTTTACAAACCTAGATGAAAAGAAAAAAAAAATATTTAAATATCGGTCTCTCCTCTTTGAAGTTTCACTTCTATCGTATGTGAATCGCACACACACCTTTTTTTTTATAAAGTCAAAACCTTTTTCTTTAAAATAAAAACTTGTTTTTATTGAAAACAAAAATCAGAGTGTTGCTAGGGATAAGTATAAAATTAAATAGTAATGTTAGGATATCGAAACATTTTTGTATATATAGGCCAGAACGATATAGTGGAAACGCGCTCTAAGATCTGAGTAATATACACACCACTACATATGCAAAAATTTCTCGAGACTAATTTCACTGTAATGTCTTAATCTCGAAATTTTATTTAAGAATTGTGTAACCACCTGTACCCATTCAATACCGGTAATATACCGTAAATTTTAGATGGTTGGATGCACAATTTTTACTTACCATACACAATTACACGGTATCATACACTAAATATCTTTAATTATAATATTAATATTAAAGTAATATTCTTTTTATTAATGTTATAATATTAATGTTAATTGTCGATTCGTTAAAGTAACGGGTCAGTAAGACCCAACAGACACCCCAAGGGATAATTTTAGGCGAGCAACCAGCTTGTTAATGTGTTTACATTGTTACACAAGTGAATAGTCTATATTATCTTCAAATTCACAGAAATTATTTTTGAGTAAGAATACTCTTTTCAAGCTGCGCAATACAGAATAGTACTGTCGATTATGCGGAAACGTAATCAAGAACAGAGCGTAACTTCAAATCAATTTTTAAGATTAGTTCAACTGAATAAAACTTAAAACGCGTTCTTGAGATACCTAATTAAGTGTCCATCTGAATTTCAAACTCATTTCAAAGTTCATTTTCATCATTTAAAAATATAGACGAAATACAGAGAATTACGGAGTCATTACAAAATGTAAAACTGAAATTAACGCAATTAAAAAACTTTTGAGAGAGAAAATGTTTTGATTTCCCGTAACCCAATAATTCCGACTGATTTGCCATTTCAGTTTGTTAGTTTTTTTCAGTCCCATGGGCAACTGTGTATGACGTGTATCAAACCAGCAAAATCTTTGTGTTTTGGCAAAAGATGGAAAAACTAATAACGTCGTGTATAAAAGTATACTTAAATAAGCTATTAACGGTAAAATACTGTAAATAGCTTATTTTAATGTATGTATGTGTTTATTTGCAAAATAATTAGCCTTAAAAATTAAAAATGCTGCCGAAAGTCACTATTCCACTCGGACGAAGTCGCGGGCACAGCTAATACGTAATACACCCATTGCTCACGTTGCTCACTGCCCGTTGCTCACAGTAATAATTATATGACTGATGCAGACAGAATTCTATAACATGGTTTTTTATTATAATTATTGTATTATTTTATTATATATTATGGTATATATATTTTATCATGGTATTTTATATATTTTATTTATACATCTGTTTAAAGTACTCGATGACCCGGTAAAATTCGTATCACCTACACCTATTTATGTAACAGTATATCTTTTTAAAAAAAAATAATAAGTGTAAATTACCAAAAGAAAATCAAGTGTGCACAAGTTAAGTTCCAAAAAGAAGTTCGTCACTCAACTTCGTCATCAATTCGTTCACTGTCGTCATCAATGTTTAATGGAATAAGAATTCTGAACGCACTCATAAATATTTGTCAAATAATAAAAATGACGATTCTTTGTTTACACACTTAATTGCATTTTTATAATCTAAATACTCTATAATCCTAATATTGTGTATATGTTTTCGATTTTATACGTTCTTTAATTTGACGGCTCGAACATCTTAAACTTTCCCTGTACTCCCTCGGTCTTTCCCTGGATTCTTACATATACTTTAATACCAAAAGGTCTTAAAGTAGGTATATTAGTTTAAGATAGATCAGCTGTACCACATTTTTGTTGGATGAATAAATATTATTATTATAATATGTGAGAGTCCAGACAAAGTTTTTAAAGAAATTATGAAAAAATGTAAAATCCGGACAAGTGCGAGTCAAATTCGCCCACTGAGGGTTCCGTACAAATTTACATAATATATTATAAATAGTTCAGGCACTCAGTCTTGCAGTTTTAGCAGAGCTTTCCCGAAATCCTGTTTCCAAAATCTATGCTTACATTATTGTGGTTTATGAGTGAAATTGTACCTTGAAATAAAGACTATATTTTTTGTGATTGAATTACAAATAAAATAGTTTTTAGATTTTTTCCTGTACTTGTAGTATAAGACGATGTTACTTGCCATATTTCATAGTTTTAGGTTAACGGGAAGTACCCTATGGTTTTTGATTCCCTTGAGAGTTTCGAAAACCGCGTTTTTTTACGTTATGACGTTACGTTACGACCGTATCTTTTTTTACGTTAACTTAGAAATTTGATTTTTTTACATCTTCAAGGTACTGTAGACCTGAGTATATAGTTTTAATTTTAAGTCTTGACAGATAGAGATAAAGGTCTTAACAGACAGACGGACAACAAAGTGATCCTAGTAGGGGTTCCGTTTTTTCCTTTTGAGGTACGGAACCCTAAAAACAACAATTCATTTGCTCATACAAAATGTTTCTACCTGTGAAACATCCAAATCGGTCCAACTTTTTTCGAGTGCAAGTACAGATTTGTAATACGGACCTCTAAGGTCTTGTACAATATTCTCAAACCTAGACATAGTGTTAATTATAGAGCAATCAGAAAATAAAAATACTATTGCTTTCAGTTTAAAAAAAATATAAAATTTGTGTTCCTTATTTTTTACAGCAGTCTACAGCTAGAGCCCCTCAAGCATGTAAGGGCCTGTTTCGTTGTTTGTCCTGTAAAACTGGCAACGGAATAAGGCTTCCATCAGCTCGATTACTCAATCATCTACGTTATTTTCACTCTCCTGAACTCATAGAGGTATATAAACAATTTTGTAGACACTTGTCATAATACCAAATGCTTTTCATATTTACTGTTTATAGGCAACTAACACAAACCATACACACTATTTTTTTTTTGTACAACTTGAAATTCATCTCAAAGAATTTTAATATTTGCCCAGTATATTATATGCCAGTCTCTATATATAGAAGATTAAAGATTATCAACATGAATTTTTGTTTATTATATACATACCTTATTGCCTATTTTACTATGGTTTTACAGTATTTAATTCTGCTAGTCAACAATGTTAACTACGTTATGAATTGCAGGGTAAATCTGAAAATGGCGAATATGTGCAAGCCTGGCAGTTCTCTGCTGTACCGGGAAGAATTGTTACTGCAGTCAGAGTATCAGATATGGGCATATTTTTTCTAGTAATTGAAATAAGTAGTAAGTAAAATATTGATAAATTTATCCTGCAGTTATAAAAGCAGATAACTAAGTCTTACTATGACTCTTTTTTTTTTAGATGACAGTGTATGTGCATGGCTATCTATGGCAGCATCCCCTTGGGTGGCTCATGAGTTTAGCTACACAGTTACTATTTCAGGGAATGATCGAGAAGCAATATTTTCTGACTGTGTAAGTAATCTCACTGCTTTGTCATCATACAATAGACTCACACAACCTACAAAATACCGAATATGATACAAAATGAACCTCAGAGCATATGAAACTGTTGAGGAACAAACTAAAAAAATTATCACAAATAAGTCTATAAATAAGGCTATGCCAAAAATATCTTGAAAGCTAGTTCATTAAACCTCGGTTAAATTTTAGTAAGTTTTAGGTGAAACCGTAATCGTAATGCTCATGAATGGTGGCTGATCATAGGTTGTTAGTTACACTTAATTGCTATGGAAAATACAGTATCGTCACTTGTCGCGATTTAGATTTTAATATCTGCGTAACAGAAAGACACGAAGAGCAAATAGCCCCTAAATCATGATCATAATAAATAATAAAGCAGTACATTCTCCCAAAAGAAAAGAGATTTCCGTTTTCACTCATTTTATATTTAAATAGAGACCTGGCTATTAAATAAAAGCAGTTTGACTCTTGAGTGTTTTGTGTTATTTGATGATAAACGTTTTCCAATTTTACAGGTGTGGTCTGTAAGATCGTGTGAAGGCTCTCTCAAGAAACGCGGACATTGTTTGATAGTGAATGGTTTAGATGCAAGAGCGCTCATTGCGCCAGTATCGATTTGTGGTAAATTGTCAGTGCGCCGAACACCACCAGATCAACTTGCCAATCAAACACAACCGCGCGCCGTTTTGCGAGTCGCCAACCGTATTAACAATCGTAACAATCAAAACTCTCACCATGCGGCTCATGAATTAGAACCCTTCCTTCAAGATCTACAGAATGATGTGGCCAGACTCTCCCGAGCATTTGCTACGCTTGGATTTGAAGCTGACGCATTAGTGCGCTCCGAAGCTGAAATGCGAGCCAGAATAGAAAACCGAAACAATTCAGGTGCTAGTGAGCGTACGGGCACTTCTGCTGAAGTAGAAACCCCGCCCACAATTCAAAACAATCAAGGTAATACCACTGAAAACGTTACAATTTCGCGTAATGCGCGTAGACGTATGCGACAACGTCTACGAGCTGCTCTCAATGAGGAAGAACCTCCGACGGTGCCAACACCACCTGTTCCAGCGCCAAGGGCCACCACCCAGCGTGGTCACAACCTACAAAGGCAGAACGGTCCGACAACTAACATTGTGAATCATGCTGAGGCCGCTCCGCCAGTTCCACCACCTCCCATCCCTCCGCCGTCCTCGTCGAGCGGGCCCTCGAATGAATTGCCTCAAAATGGGAATGGACGAGTGAACAAGAAGAAGCGACGTCATCGTAGATAAATATACTGTGTAATTCTTTAGTTACATTATTAATGAATAAGCAAACAAAATAATAAGTTCATTATTATTGATTATTATTAATGGTAAATGTTATCAATTTGACTGCTCTTTGAGTCTCGTGACTTCCCTCTGGGGCTATCCTAATGAATATTATGTGTCCATAATGTAAATATTTCGTCTTCTAGACAACTGCAATTTTTACAAGTGCTGTGATAACATATATTGCTAGTTTTGCAATATGGTGGTTAACTACTTAAATATTTTCATTCAATTAACTTAACCCCAGAGTATTTTGTGATTTAAACAGATACCCAAATAGGATAAATAAATAATTTCAGTTAATGAAATGCATTTTGCAAAATATTTTTGACGATGATATTTTACGAATATCTATTTGAATAATGTTAATAGTTAATGATGAAAGTGCTTGTTTTAATCCTGAATGTAATCATGAATTTGTTGTAGAAATAACGTTACTGTTTAATTATGAATAACTGTTAAATAACAGGTTAGCGATAATTACAACATATAAGATACAACATTTTTTCTTTTAATCTAAGGAGCTCCCTATTATTGACATCTGCTATGTTCCGCCTCCACGGGAGGTACCTGGGGCATACTGAAAGTTTCTGGGTCTGGCCACTTACAATGAAAAACAATTCTGGCATTCTAATATGGAACTTTTTTTCTTTTAATGTGCGAGACTGTCATTTGGTTTTTCATTGTGACCCTTTCGAAAATTGTGTGTCGCTATCATAATGAATTGAACTCGTAAACTTTTTTGTTATTATTTTCGTTGTGGCTCGAGTCAACAAGAGAGTTGCCAGAGACTTCAATTTTCATTTATTGATGAAGCACCATTTTGCAGCTCTGTGTATTCGTGGTTTGGAGAATTCAAACGTTCATCTTCATGACGAGGTACGCTAAGGTCGGCCGGCGACCGGTTACAGACTAATATTGATTCTTATTTGCCAGCAAATTCGTGCTTTATTAGGCATTGGAATGAGCCAAGTGCAAAACATTTTATATGTACATCTGAAGGTTCAAAAGGTTTGCACTCGATGGATACCGAACGAAGAACCAGAAACGACCTTGTGTCTAGTATTGCCGTAAAATGATAACAAAGGTTTAACGGAGGACAGCCATTGGTGACGAAACCTGGGTGTATTGCTTTGAACCCGAAAGAATAAGCCAGTCGGCAAAGTGGGTCTTTCTTTTTAAGATTTGGCAACGAAAGTTAAGAAAAGTCGGTAAAAAATGGTTTCTTCTTTTTACAGTAAATCAGGACATTAAAGTACAGTATCGCGTGAAGATCAAAGAACAGTGACTGCAGATTAGTACGTAAACACTTGCTTGCCCAGAGTCTTAGAAAAATCTCGCGAAAAGCGTCCTCGAAGCAATATCCTCCTTCACCACGATAACGCATCCTCACATTCGACTAGGGTAACAGATGGCTATTTGAAGGCTTCAAATGTAGAATTGATGACGCATCCGCCTTACCGCGTGGATCCACCCTACGACTTCTTTTTGTTGCCAAAACTTATAGACAAATTTAGAGGCACAGGTTTTACGAGCCCTGAATCGGCGGTCTTGCGGCGGAATTGCGATCATAAAATGCATAATCTTAGGACCAATGGTAAAGTGGTATGTCGAAATTAAACCGACTAAAACGGGTAAGCATTAACCGATCTAAGACATGCAACTGTCCGCAGACTGATACAAAAGTACGTACGTAAGTACTTTTACTGCATTAAGGGCAAATTATAGTGAGTACTAGGTGTGCGTTCAAGTTGCTCTGCCAAGTTGTCCAAACAGAAAAAATCGAGTGCAAGCATAAGTACGGTTTAATTTGGGAAAAAAATTCAGTCAAAAATGTATCGTATTATCTATGGATTTTCTCAGGAACGGGTAGACCTAGCAAGTTGAAATTTATACCAGATACTGAGGTCTATGAGGTATTAGGTGTATAAAAATCAACACGATAAAAAAATTGGGTATATTTCGATTTTCGCGAAAACTTGTAAGTACCAAAATTTACCTTGATTTTCTTTTTTTTTCTTTTTTTTAGAATTTTTTCTTTACTTGTGCTGTAAGACCTTGCTTTTAACCAAAATTGTCAATTCTAGGTCAACCGGAAGTACTCTATAGGTTTTGGGTCGAAAACCTATATGGTAGTTCCCTTTGACCTAGAATCACGAAATTTGGCAAAAAGAAACGTCTTATAGCACAAATAAAAGAATAATTCCAAAAAATAAAATAAGTTGAAAATTAGGATAAATTTTGGTACTTACAAATTTTCGTGAAAATTACGTAAAATCTGGGTAGGTACGAAACCCTCGGTGCACGAATTCGACTCGTACCTGACCGGTTTTTTTGTTGTTAGATTGGCATAACTGTTTTCCATTTTGCCGCGGAGTTTGAGTTGCATCTGTTATTTATATTAAATATAGTGCTGTTTTAGTTATATCATATCTAGTGTGTATTGCGAATTTCATAATGGACATCGCCAATGGAATTTCGTGTTCGGAGTCACTGAAAAAGTCACAGAAGGCTTATGTACGGTGAATCGACTTTATCAAAAACACGTGCTTATGAGTGGTACAAAGCGTTCAAAAAACGGTCGAGATGTGATGGAAGATTTGCCTCGCTCTGGTAGGCCATTAACGTCTGCAACTGAAGTTAACTTCATTCAACTTTAGGAGAGATAGCCGCCGATCTTTCTGTATCTCACGAGTCGATCCGTACCATTTTGACTAATCATTTGGGTATGAAACATGTTACCGCTCGGCTAGTACCCAAAAGACCTGAATTTTCTCGAAAAACTCAATCGCATCACATTCATGAAACGCATTGTTACTGGTGACGAGACGTGGTTTACAAGTTTCATATCGCAGTCCCCGACGAACACTATGGTAATCGCTATTACGATAGAATCGGGTTTATTAGATATTCGTTATCTACACACCCTATTACAATCATTGAATTTTTTTTATGATCGGGCGATGAATACTTTTGGATTTATCCATTCAATAATGATCTTTATGTTTTTGTTCGACGTATAACATAAGTGAAAAATTTACACGATCAATAACGCAAAAACCTATTACCAAATCTCAAAAGTCAACATTTTAGAGTAAGCGGCTATTACCATATTGTTCGAGGGAAAAATGACAGAATCAGAATCAGAATTTATACATAGGTACCGAAATGGTTATAACACCTAAAAATGATCATCGAATAAGCATGTAATTTTTGTTTACCGTAATATTAAAGTCAGTTATATCATCGAATACGATTGCAATGTCATTTTACGAATATAAAGTATATTCATATTTACCATGGAACAATATCATAATGAACGATTACTACAGCAACACCGATTTGTGATTACAGTCGAACACTATCGTAAAGTTAGTTTGCGTTAATTTTTTCCATAGCTTATTTCAGTAATGGACATTTTCACAATTTTCTTACTGATAAAGAAAATTTATGATAAAAATTTAGTAAAAATCTAGTGCAAAAAAATATTTCCTTATTTTTGATAAAAGAATCTTCTTTTTAATCTTGATAGTATTCAAGATATTCAGTTTTTATTTGCTCCTGTAAAATTGTTATTTTCCTATTACGATTTTGTTCGTCGGGGACTGCGATATGCTCATACAAACTAGTCAAGCTTCGGAGTGGCGCCTTCCAACTGAACCGAAACCGAAAAAACCATGCCAAATCCGATCAAAAGTCAAAGTCATGTGACTGTTGTCTCTGACTATCGCAGTGTTGTGCACTCGAAATTCTTGCCGGAAGGTCAAACGGTAAATAAAGAATATTATTTGAGCGTTATGCGCCATTTCAGAGCGGAAATTCGACGAAAAAGGCCAGATTTGTGGAAAGAAAATTCTTGGCGTAAGTGTATCGTTTCTGAAGGAGCATAACGATGGATGAATAATAAACATTTTGTGTATTAATGATCTTTTCCCGGTACATTCTTGTATCTCTAACTCGAGACCAGCTGGACTATATAGGACAACACAATGTTTTATTATTAACTAGCTGACCCGCGCAACTTCGTCTGCGTCTCTCAATAGTAATAAATTTTCTCCGTTTTTGAAACATTCTTCATTGGTGCTCCGCTCCTATTGGTCTTAGCGTGATGATATATAGCCTATAGCCTTCCTCGATAAATGGGCTATCTAACACTGAAAGAATTTTTCAAATCGGACCAGTAGTTCCTGAGATTAGCGCGTTCAAACAAACAAACAAACAAACTCTTCAGCTTTATAATATTAGTATAGATAAAAATCTTTTATATATTTTTTTTATGTTAGAGGGGGCAGAGGAGCAGACGGGTCAGCTGATGGAAAGTGACCATCGCCGCCCATGAACGTTTGCAACTCAAGAGTCACAAATGCGTTCCAGCCTTTTAGGAAGAAGTACGCTCTTTTCTTGAAGGTTTGAAGGTCGTGTCGTATCGGTCCGGCAATACCTCAAGCAATAACCCATCCACAGATTGGTTGTGTGCAAAGTGTCTCACAAAGCGCACAGTAGTGGAGCGCCAACTATCCAGGTGATGTGGGTGAAAATTTTGCCGTATCAGTTTGCAATATTAACAAAAATATCATTTTCTCTGAAATGTTAGGATGCTTTGCTTTTTTTTATGATATAAGGGGGCAAACGAGCAGACGGGTCACCTGATGATAAGCGACTACCGCCGCCCATGGGCACCTGCAACTCAAAAGTCACAAGTGCGTTGGCGCCCTTGGAGTCCTTACCGCTCGAGTTAGCGGGAGGGGGGGATTTGGGCGCCGGTAACCTCACTCACTCAGTGAAAGCCAACGAAAGAATTGTTCAACACCGGTTTTCTATGAGGCCGTGGTATCACTTGCTACGACGAATTATTATGTTTAAGTTCCCCTATTTTTTACTTTTTTATTTGAAGTTTGAGTGAGTATTTGAAGATTTTACCGTTATCTGTAGAATCTTCAAATAGGCTAGACTGTATTGGA